CCACCGCCTCTGGATCCAGCTCCAACGTCTCCTCGCGTCTTTCCCTTCTCGACACCTGCCACAGGAAGATCAGGTTCTTCGGCGAGCTTGTCGCGTGAGTCGTCTACTAAAATCTCGTCTATATACAGGATAGTCTAAACATCGCTCCGCCGCTTTCACGGACTTCCGATGGTTTGCCAGAGAAAATCTTGTAACGCTTCATCAATTTTTACTCCGCTATAAATTCCGATAACTTCGAGAAAGTTGTACCATGTTTTGATCGCGTAACGTTACGCGATCTGTCATACCGGTGACCGGGATCTTGAAGAAATCGTCGCGAATCTGTCATCGCGATGCGTGAACAAGGTTATTTTGTTTCTTTCGTAAAGGAAATCCATCGTTTTTACGACTGGAAACTTCATTTGCACTCTAAGTGCAAAAAACAAGTAGGCAATAGTGCATTCCTGCTGTAGTATCAATAACTATAATGTCGTTCAAATATTGTGGTGATAAATTCATGATTTCTTCGTTCAAGGTCATTTCATGGTCATAGTATATCATTAAATTTGTACATGGTATCGTTGAAAATAATTTATGGCCGACTGAAAACTAATGCAACTGTTGCAACGTTTTTTCTGCAAGACCATCAGAAATTCCTCAAACACGGCGGGGACTGATATTTGAACCAGCCTGTAGATCTCTATGTATACTGGCTCGCTCGAGAAACATGTGCACCTTGAACGATGGACACCGTTAAATAAATGAAAGAATACTTCTTCGCATATTTTGTAATCTGGGACATCGAGATACAAGGAATTAAGTGTTTGATAAAATAGGAACATTAAATAGCAAAGTTATGGATTGTTAGATCAAGTGTTCCTAAATTTCTAGATCTTCAAATAACCTGTGAACCTTCCAATATATTTTCGACAGAAATCCGAAATGCTCGGGCACATGTGTTAGCGTGGTGATAGAAGAACGATGGTGCTGTTACTCAGTAGTAAGAACCCAAGTTTATTGCTCGCTTTCGGAAGCCTCAGATTGCAAAATAGTAAAAGACCTTTTGATGTTCCATTGTACGAATGTGTTGACTTTTACGGTGTACATATTTCTTGGGACCAACTGTATATTTATTATATATACATGTATATGTACTTGTACAGAGTGTCTTCAAGGTATGCTGGCTTGAGATCGAAGTGGGAAGGATTAAGCAAACCGTGATCACCGTGTGTTGATTAAAATGAATAAAGATGAATTATAATTTATTAAATGCTGGATTAAGTAAAGTGGAGTTAACGTAACTTCTTTCGAAGGATAATATTTCCGTTTTCAGGAACAAGCCAGTATCCTTCCATTTGAGAACGTCTTGCATACGCATGGTGTAAAATTAAAAGTGTTACGGTTAGCATCTCAGTGATCATGTAAAATAAAAAAAGTTACTCGTCGTAATTTATGCATGATAGAGCGTCGCAATTTTCGCGGAGTATTATATTATTGTGCAAAAAATAAATGTAAATCGTCACACGTCCAAATTTATCGTCCCATAACACTTTTTAATCGTACACTTTTCGATGTACAGTGAAGTTAACGAGAAACGGTAACGCAACCAGAAACAGAATTTCGGAACACATCACAATTTCCACTCCACCTTTTATTACCTCTTTTCTACACTTTTTACGTATCTCGTATGATCGAGAAAACGATTATATATTTTCTGCATGGCATACATATATACGTGTTCCTATAATTGCGCACCGAAAATTCCGATTTTTGATCGATTACCGCTTTATCGGTGCATTTTCGGTATGTTTCCGCTTTTCCATCAACGAAAAATTGTGTGATCGAATCGAGAAGCCTTTCTTTTTTGTCTCGAAACGTGCCACTCTCGTTCATTGATGGACGCGTATAGAAACATCTGATGCTACTTCGGCAGAAAAATCCAAAAAATATATGGAACGTGTATCGACGGAGAGAAAGGCTTTTGAAAAATTGCTCGAAAGAAATTGACCGGAGAAAAAGAGCATACTCCTGAAATTGGATGCTACGTCCTATGAAATCTCTTGCCTTGTGTTTCTTCCAGTGATCGATTCACTGTTTCAACAAAGAAGGACACTAGAATTTCTGTTATCCGATTCACGTACAGACTCTCGTTATATTGCCACGGACAGCTGTGGAGAAGCGGAAATTTCTTGAAATAACAATACAGCTGTAATTCGAGGCATCGCGACGCGACTTCTGGTCATACGCGTTGCGATATAGCGCGCGGCGTTACAACGTACCGCAACGTTACTGACTTTGCACGGCAATACAATTAGTTGCAACGCAACCCGTAGCAATGCAATTGGCTGCAACGCAACTCGTGACAACGTAACGCGACTCAAAACAATTTCTGACGATACGATACATTGCGACACAACTCGTGAGGCTACAATTTGCGGTGATGTAACGGCTGGCGATATAACGATAGTCTGTTATACAATGACGTTAACAGAGGATTGGATGCGTAAAGTAAGAAGTGCTTCGTCTGGAACGAGCGAAATATAATCATAATTATATTGGATTTGTGACATCGGTCACCGGTGACCCTCGCGGTATTCGGAAGAACATTTCAACGACATCTCGCGTGGTAACGTTTCCGAGTTTCCCAAAATTTCTGTGCTGAATTTCCTTGGACTTTTGAATTGCCAAGGTTTCAAGGATATCGAAGCGAACGAGAATCGATTAGTCGAGGTCAGAGTAGATATTAGGACTGTAGCTAAGGTCAAAGGTTTTGCCTCTAAGTATAGTTAGTACTTTAGATAGTACTTTAGGGGCATAGTAGTATCAGGTCAGTCCACGAATTCTTAGAAACGAAATAACGAATGTATTTTCAACGATGATATCAGCCGCGATATTTTTCTTTATCATCAACGCCTTGAAACGTTCTGGGGTGGAAAAGGTAGGACGAATTTATACGAATGCGTGTAAATTTGTGGACTGACCTAAGAATTGAGACGAATTAGAGTGTTAGAGAACTAGTAGTAGATAGTCATTAATACGAATTAGCATAGTTAGCCTTTAGAAATCAGAATCTTTGACCTCCGTTATAGTATTTAGTGGACTGGATGTTTTGCAACCTTGTGTCGCGATATCTGGTTAAAACTGGCGACATAAATTCGTGTTAAGTTGACGAAGCCAGTTTTTTCCAAACAAATGCAGCTTCTTTCCAGTGGCATGAGCTTCATAGAGAAAAGAGAGACTTGATTGTTTGACGAACGTAGACGTGGCTGAATACTGTGGCTCCCGTTATTTATTGCATGCGAATAGTGTTTCGGTGACTGGCAGGAAACTGATTAGCCAGCTGCTCGTTAGTTCGCTCACAAAACTTCTAATACTGTTCGTATCGTCATCGAAACATCCTAACACTTTTAGTTTTTCATTTCGATTTTTTTCATGCGTCTACTACGAATTATTTTTGCAAAGAGTAAATTTTTCCATCAAATAACTATCTAGAACGCTAATAGAAATTGTCGTTGTATAAAAAAGAAAAGGTTAAAACGCGAACTAACGTTAAGAAAAATAACGACGCTGTAAAAACTCGGCATAAAAGGTAGAATGAAACCCCATTGTTCCGAAAATTCCTTAAGACGCACCGTAATAGAGGAAGTTTAATCAATTAACTTTCGCCGAGGAAGAAGCTTCATTTGTCCCTAGGAACGCGAAACAGAGAAAACGGGAACAGAGAGACGTCCAATGAAGGCTTGTTGATAGATTAAAAGCGAATTGAATGGAGTCCGAACCCGTTGATTCGTATAAATCCGATAATTCGTTAATCTGATTAGCAAACCTGTGCCACTCGATTAAAGACGTAATGTTCTGTACACGATGCGATCAGTGCAATTGTTGCTCATGAAACTCGGTTACAGCGGAACAGTAATACTCGCGTTTGTTGACTTCCTTGTTAGATTCACAAAATAATTCCCCAGCATCTCCTGTACTTGGAACGAACAAAATTTCAACGAGACACTAATAGAGTTCAAACGGAATCACCAGGGCAAATTACATGTTCCAGTTTAATTTTGTTAACATTTCCTATTTTTCATTTGTGGAGGACGGTCCTTTGTTTCCAGGTAATTTTTACAGAAAGAATTTTCTGAAAGGAGCATTCTGCGTTTAAAATAGTGCATTCCGCGCATCATTAGTAGACTCGGATGCAATGTAAGTCTTCTTTGACCAAGGATGAGTGTTGCAGGAAGAATGTTCATTTTCTGCAATAAACCTTTTCGCCGTAAAGCTATGAAAATATTTCTGATTTAAGTTTCTAAATTCGAAAGTGGAATGATAAAAGTGCAAATTGGCTCGTGAGGTGCAACATCTTTGCGACCGAGTTCGGTTCACGCTTCGGTTATTATTTTAATTAATTTCCCTGCCGGAATATCTGCGCACAAATTTCCTGGGTGTATTCGTAATTTGATAGCAATATTTATTCGAATTTATTGTTGACGCGTAACCGGCGGAGGGAACGGAAATCGACGCGAATGCGGTAACTTTGTAAAGCGACGTATTGCTGCTGGTATTAGCGATAGCAGGCTAATGAGCTTGAATGTGTTCCAAAATTCGTGAGGGTGGAAACGAGAGGGTGGTGGTGAGGGAAAATCGCGAGGGTTGGTCGAGAGAGTGGTCTCTAAAGCAAAGTGCATTTAGGCCAACGTAATATTGTCCTTCGCCCCGGAATGAAATTGCTTTTTCCAGTTACACGCTCGCCTGTAATTTGTTTTCCATCGGCGTACCGTAATATGCCTCTCGATACGACAAACCACCGCGATGATATTATATCGATCAACATCTCGGTTAACGTTCATTAATTAGGTCATTTCGTTAATCGTCTCTAACGTTAGTCTTAATAACTTTCGCCATTTTTTTAACTTCGTCGACGACCAATTTTTCGTCAGAGAACCGGTGGGACTCTTTGTGTTCACGCGTCAAACATTTACGTATAAACAGTTCTTAAACCAATATTCGACTAATTTTAGAGAATTTTAGAAACTATAGTTAAATTTAAAACGTTATGGTACATCGTCCAAAGTTAATATTTGTCAAAGTTCGACTAAGTTTATGATAACTTTGCGAGTAGGTAAATTTTTAACGAAACGTTTTGACGAACTTTTAATCGTTTTAATACCTCGTACGCTCTAAATTCGGAAGTTATGAACGTTTTATCGAAATACTTTAAAATTAACTAAAGTTTGCGTTGATTATCGCGCGATGCTTATTTAACGCCTAGATACTCGGTAAATTCGACTCAAATTGTTACCACTTTCGTCGAGATGAAATTACGTTCAGCGATCAAAGATATAACGCGTGAAACTATAGTGCTAAAACGATTGGCATTGAGCGACGGGTAAAATGATGCTCGTATTTTACTTATTCGCGTAATAAGTTTCGTTGTTGAAAATGTTCTATGGTATTATATTTCATGCTCATTATTTATTTTAGTTAAGAATAATGCATAATTCAATTTATACGCCCAATGAAACTTGCTACAACATTTCAATAAGTACATTACAAACTTCATTAGTTACTAATAGGTAATCGAATAATGTTCGTTACAACACTTCTACACGACATACTATATAAATCAGCAACAGATAACTATCGATATCACATGCTATAACACTCGAATGAATACAATACACACCGTACCAACTACCAGTAGCTAACAACCAATTATGCTCGCTGTAACACTTCAACGAGCGTAACACATATTGCACTAATTATCAACGTGTAATTATCCATAATGTTTTCTATAACGCTTCAACGAGTACATCACATACCGTATCGATTACCAACGATGCTTGTTACAACACTTGAACAAGTACAATACAAACTGTACCGATCACCGATACATAACCAGCGATAATTCTTCGAGTAATCGATACATGAAATCCCTCGAGACACCAAACGCAAAGAATAAGTACCAACCTCCCCGTTACACAATCTTTTCCGCTGAGCAATAATATGCTTTATTGCTTGAACAGTGTAGAAACGCGTTGATCGATGTCCAAATCGGATAGCAGAACGTGTCTAAGAGAGCGATCTCACGCTGTTTATAGAAAAGCCCGACGAAAGGAGAAAGATGCGGGAACCACAGAAGATCCGAAATTGTACCTCGAGGAGGCAGCCCTTGAAAGGCAGCTGCCAGAACTGGACCTGAGGATGTTGGTCGATTTACCACCAGGTTTGGACTACAACGAGTGGCTGGCCTCTCATACCCTGGCACTATTCGATCACATCAACCTCGTCTACGGAACGATATCCGAATTTTGCACGATGACGGGCTGTCCCGACATGACTGGTCCTGGCTTAAGGTAATTTTTTCTCCTTTCACGATTCTCGAACCCCAACTATAGAGATAGAGATCCTCCCAAACGTCGGGTTTAGACTTGGTAATTTTTCATTCTTGGAATTCGACAATTTCTGAGACTTTCGGGCACTTGATCTTTTGAGACTTCTTGAAATTTTAGAATTTAAAATGTAGGAAAATATAGGGTTTCAAGAGCACAGGGTTACGAAGGTTTGTAAAGGAAGAAAATAAATCTCAAAGGAAGAGTAAAAGATCGTCTGAATGATGTTTGCTTTTTAGCCCTCCATTGTTCTCCCCTTCGCACCCTTGCTCTTTGGCCGATATTGCAGAGAGGAGTAATTCGATTTCTTATCGTTTCAGAACTTATCTGTGGTTCGATGAGAAGGGGAAGAAAACGAGAGTGGCAGCGCCACAATATATAGATTATGTTATGACTTTTACACAACGCACCGTTAGTGACGAAACTATATTTCCTACGAAGTATGGTGAGTTGTCTTTTCAATCGCTGTGGAATAAGTATTTCGATGGTTTCATTAATCGTATATTTACAATCGTAGTGAAAAAGTGTCTACATAACCACGAAATTGAAAACGTGGCACGGAGGGGTCTTATTAATTGTTTTGTTCTGGATGTTGCAGCAAATGAATTTCCTAGCTCGTTTGAATCGATAGTGCGTAAGATCCTGCGGCTACTGTACCACGTGGTGGCACACATTTACCACTGCCACTTCAGAGAGGTAGCACTCTTGGGGTTGCACGCTCACCTCAATTGTGTGTTTGCCCACCTCACGCTCCTTAATCAACGCTTCAACCTGATCGATCCGAAGGAAACGGAGATCTTAGGGGATTTAGAGGCAGCTCTCTTGGGTGAGTTTTACCTGTTGGAGATCGATATCGTTATGTAATACTCGCGAACATCGTATATTACCCTAATGGGATTATACTACAGTTTAAAGGAGAAACGTTAGCTGTATGTCTTATTAATAATCATGCGATTATGTAAACAGCATCTCTGTGACGCGAATGATTAAAACCAGAACGATTATATTAGGCAGCTAATTGTTAGATTAACGCGTTGAGTGTCGTAGAGATCATGCAACGCAATCCGCAAAAAGAGTAAAAAACTCTTTTTTTAATTACCTTGTTGTTCGAAACTTGAAACGCCGATGGCCAATGATTTCTATGACAATTAACATCGTTGTCGCGAATGATTAAACTGAAAGTAATAAAATTGAAATTGTAGGTGATTCGACATCATCATCAGCGCCTTCACAGACCTTAGCCATCCAGGAGACTCCGACCACAACCACCTAGATCGCGATGCACAGTAAACAAGAGGTTGCAGTTCCTGAGACTAGGTGACGATAGGAGTTTTGTTTTCCCTTTTTTTCCTTTTCTCTCTCTCTCTTCCCCCTCTCTCTCTGTATCTCTGTCTTTCTCTTACCTTTCTATTTCTCTTTTCCTTTTTTTCTAACTAGAATACGCGAACGACAAAGTTTTAAGGATAACGATTATACACGCAGGTGGAGCGAGAGCGCAATTCTGTAAAAACCAGTAGTACCTGTACATAGCGAAGTGTGAAACAACTACATGATGTAATTAGGTTCCTCCGTTTGTTGTTTGTGAGATTGTACATAATTTATTAAACAGTAAGATATACGAAAGAGACGAAGGATGATTATTGATTATTATTATTGACAAAGTTAGTTGCTATGAGGAATAATTTGTTCTGTAAAAACTATTAAAGAAAAGAAAAAAATAACAAAAAACAACAAAGTGAATGAAACGATAATAATATTGTAAAGTTACAAGTAATACCAAATATATACCTGGTGTTAAGGCATGTGTTATATTCGTTGAAACTCGAACAGTCACGTTCTGGCTGTTCCCGGATCATTTCCAGTTTGCTTCTTTCAATTGGATAACTCCGTGCTTCACAAGGAAAATACCATGAAGGGCATCAGTCACCGGCTCGTTACCAGAACGTTAGTTACCAGCTTCGACTTACTTTGTAGCCTTAGAATGAGAATTAATCTAAGCATCCGGTAGATATATTTGGACCAGACAGGATGCAACCACTTCCTTTGTCTAACCAATGCAGAGTCAGTGATATGCGAAGACAGGTAGATTATCTATACTTTTATTCTTCTTAACCTTGAATAATGAAAACAAATTTAAAGTACAAACACCAAATTAGATATCTATACTTTACTATATTTTTATGGGTTAGAATGAAAAGACTGATTTATCTTCTTTCTTTCCTGTAACCAAGGTATTTTACTGTTCATTTTCAAAAAATCTTGTTTACGTACTTGACTTAAGTGCAAACAGCCGAAGGAGCAGTACCCTGTTTAACTTCCACGATTCTAATTGCTGCGCATACATTAGCAATCTCACGTAAAAACAGACCTAAAGCTTCTGCGATAGGTTCGCAAAGATCCTTGAAAGAGGTTGCGATGTTGTATAAGAGTATCAATACTGGCTGTATCAAAGCATTGAATACGATAGACAAACAAGGCTTTATGAAATAATCTGCCAACATTTGCAAAATACCCACGGTCAGTGGTCTAATTATACTATAAAGTATGAATCGAAGGAATTGTAAAATAAATGCTGTCACAAAAGCGGTGCCTATGTGAATCGTTCCAAATATTTCAGCCCAGAAGCGTGTTGCTGCCTGATCAGTCTTCTCTGCGCATCTTTCAGTTGCTAATATTGGTGGTGAATCTGTGGTACGATAATATCTAAGCAGAATATATTTAATGTTAATCATTTAATAAAAAAAGATATTTAATTTTATAAATGTACATAGGTTTTGATTTTTTTTGCATGAGACAATAACAAAAAGAAATGGAGATAAAATCATTTAAGCGTCAAAGCGTTTTAATCTCTGACATAATTGTACCTACGCAGAATTCCCATGATCAAAGTAATAGATTTCAATTTTCTCTGTCACTTTTTCCTCTTTGTCTGCTTCTTTTACTTTGGATTTTGTTACTTTAGAACAAATTGGTTTTCTTTTGTTAGGTATACCTTCTGACATTTCGCAGTACATGAAAGGCTGTACGTAAATATATTATTGTGGGTATTAATTCTATTAATAATTAACACAGCTTTTACGTTATGAATTTATTATTATGTCAATTAGATTCTGCATAAATACTTTACTCCACCTCTGCGTAATGAGGACATTTTGTTGGTTTCAAGTTTACTTCGTACATTGCATCTTTCTTCTCTATATATGATTTTTTAGGCCATTTCCATCTAAAACGACACCAAAATGGTCGTGAACGTGAACCTGAAAACTCATTTCAAACATGCTTATAATGAATACAAAAAAAGAGATAAACAATTAATTCATAATACTTTAATTGGAATAATTATCAGGAGCATACAAAGTTTTCATTTATATGAAGCAAAGATTAAAAACTAACGTACGGGCTTAATAAAATTTAGTAAACTAAAGTAATTACCATTTTTGTGTTTTAAAGGTAATGTATAGGCATTGCTAAAAGAATAATGTTTAATCAGTATTTGCTGTGTAAAATAAAAATTCTTATATTACATCTTGTGAGTACGACACAAGCATGGATTAGTGGATTCCATTTGTTTCATTGTATATTGGTTTTTTTCTAAATTCTTAGGTGATTCCTGTACAGTGTTGGCCCTCCCACAGTGTTCTGGAGGTATTCCACAATTCCCTGGTGAATATACCTCGTAACATTTACAGTCTTTAACTGCATATGAGTAATATATAATTCAAATCATACGTGCTTTAACTTGTAAATTATTCCTATTACAATTGTTTATTATATTTTTATTCTACGTACGATTAAACTGTTCAAAATTATTCTCTTCCTTTACGCATTCACTTTCCGGATTATTAGTATTAATTATGCAACTAGTATCTGACTGCAGAGACGTTACATTAGAATCCTCTGTTGCATCGTTATAAGTACAATCCTCTCCAGAAACCATGATAAATACATTTCTTGAAAACGAATTGAACAAAACTGAAATTAAACTAATACGAACGAAAACAACATTAAACTGTCAAAGTGACGGGAATCGGGTAGTTACATTCATATGTTTATAAACTGTGATTACTTCAATATCGAAAGATACATTGAAGTTGATTTTACAGAATAAACGGAAAACTAATTATAGCGAAAACAATAATCACGGAACATATTTGTGGAATAATAATGAATAATAAATAAATAAATAATTTTTCTCCTCTTTATTTCTTTTATAAACACATAATAATAATAATTTTGATTCAATTTCTTTTATCGGTTACCAAAAGTTCTTTTTACACCTGCTCCCTCCCCCATCTTCCAAACTATTTCGAACGGGAAACGTTATTTGAAATAGAAGACACTGCTATTTACATGAAATTCAATTGGAAGTAGAATGGTGTAATTAGCTTAATACGATTTAGTACAGTAGTAGTAACCTCATCTATGCGACGGTGTAACGCTTGCGAGGAGGTTTATAATTCACAAATTTTTAACAGGTCACAAAAAGATTTTACAACTAATATTACTTTTCTTTCACCAAAAACTTCAACTAGAATCCTAAATATTCATATGTTCATTTATTCTAAATTTTCTCTTATGAGTCTTAATCTGGAATTATCCTTTATCATATTTTTCGAAGCAATTCTTTTGCAGCATAGAAATTAAACGTTAAAAATCTTAATTATAAAAGTTCTTTATGTTTATCTGTTTGTTACGTGTATGTTTCTCAAAATGTTATAATACAATTTTTTATTCGTTGATAACGGACCATTAATTGTAGAATTTGTTTATTTTTCCTAATAAGACCCGTCGCATACACGCGACTTTTTACCGTGCGATCGCAGCGGATCGCATGAAAAAAGTAGCTCGCATGCACTCAGAGTAAAACGAATAAACTACTCGCTATACAGTTTTAATGCATTTCATTGCTCACACGAAGTAAATATAATCTAGATATCAAATTAGAATAATATCAACTGGACTAGAAACGGAAATATACATAAATACTAAACGCCTTATCGATCAGTCAAAAGAAATATTTAAGAAACACTTCTATAAGTAATCAATAGTATGTTAGAAAGTAATTAACTTACATTTGTATTTATAGTATTTATACACATGTTTCATGGAGTATTCATATTTGTAATATCATCGTTCAAATCTATCATTAATCTTATATGTACGTTTCCAACGTTTTGTACAAATATCTCTTTAACATTCTGTACAAACAGTCAAAATTGAAAACTTGTTCTTAATTAACGATAGTTGGACAAATGTACCGAATGTTAATTTTTCTCTGTACACGCGTACATGAAAGATTTCCGGAAAAAGTTGCTAAATCAAGAGGAATAGTAACTAGTTTGATTATGGACATAAAGTAATTGGTCGTACGCAATCGAATGGCCTAAGAACGATGAAATTATAATATACAATTCCTATCTTTAGTCGTTATCGAAGAGACAATAATGCTTAACGAAGAAACAACGTGTTTGAAAACTATTGAAAACTTACTTCAGTTTGTATTACAAATAAGACCGTAAGTTTAAAATATATTCAAAGTTTTGATGCATTCTCATAGTGTTTTTCATAAATTTGTATAAGATAATGATCAGACATTTAGGCACCTATTGGAAATGCACTATTAAGAACGTATGCACTCTTTTAATATACCTCTTTAGTATTAGAAATAAATAATTCCTTCACATGATCATTGGCAGAAATGTACACATACATATAGTTTGACCTGTACTTAAACATTTTTGAAATAAGACTTTTAATTCGCTTAAATGTATCTTGTTAAGGATGCAATTAAATATTCATTTTTCTGCGTTAATTGTGCGTGCAACACAACTCTCACAGTACCAATATTTAGTAATTATTATATTCAATAATGCTAGAAAGTGGAATTGACATAGCACTTGCAACCTTAACAGTGAAATCTCGGACTATAAAAGGGAACATACGTTCTTAACAACGTACTAATATTACAGATAAAAGAAAAGATTCGCAATTATACATTGAAGTACAGTTTTGGAATGTAAAACATTCGACGATTATATTCTAGTAATATCTCTATCGTCACGTGTGTAATTATCGTACAAAAATGTGTTAGACTCCTCTCATGCCTTTTTCTCTTCTCTTGTTCAATTTACTACGTACAATTAATAAGATATCTCATTGAAAATTTTACGATATTATTAAAGTATGACATCCATTAAAACAGATGTAAACAATTGATATATTTATATATATATTACGATGTAAATATTTGATATAGCTATCGTTAAAACCTTTTTCTCACGCAATGCAATAATAGATTAGATACAACAGCCAACGTTAATCAAATCTTATAAAGTTAGAGCAGTGATGAGTAGATGAAAGTGTCCGCTGAGGAAATGATAGGCACGGACAGCACGGTACATGCAGCAGTGAGATGTGCGAGAAAAAGAATACAAATTTTCAAATTGACATATTTTTCAAGTTATCAACTTGTCAAATTTACAAACTTCCAAATTTTTTAAATTCGAAATTTGCAAACTATTTTTGCGTTAATAAGCTATGAAATTTTCAAATTTACAAACTTCCAATTGCTACATAAAAATACCTCCTTCTATATTGCCAGTTATAATGGCAATATAGTGAGAGCTTACTGTGCTCATTCCTCACGAGCGCGGTTACCCATCACTGAGTTCGATCATAATGTTTTGTAAACGCGTGTACGTGGATGTCTTTGAAAGAGTAGCAGCATGGCACTTAAATCAGGTAAACTTATTTTTAAGTACGAAAAACGGATTAAATAGCCAACAGTAATATGCAATATAATTATTTCTTTATAATCATACTGCATAACATTTGATTCTTTTGTTCAATTAAAATTTACACATTATAAATATGCCACACTTTTCAAGTTACGAAGTTGGTGTTTCTTTGCATATTAATTCTGAATTCCTTACGTTTAATATAGAAATCTCACGATCTTAGCAAGAATCATGACGATATTGCTGTTCATAATGTTCGTTACGAATTTTCGCAACGCTTAAAAGCTACAAAGTACAAATAATTGTAATAAATAATATTGGTAAAAATACATTATACAATGATTTTGTAGAACCGACTGTCATGGTTACTTTTTATAAAGGTATTCCGTCTTTCAGTACGATTAAAATTGTACTTTCTCGAGTAAATTATTTATAGATCGAATCTACCACTCGTTAGGATATAAAATATTAAAGAGTAACTAAAAAATTTGCAATCGAACGTTAACATACTCGTATTTAATGATCACGTTACGACTGCGCGAAAATTATAAATATTTACAATGCAGTATAAAGTAAATTATTTTTAATCAATTATATTAACGTTCCGTTTACATTAAGTAAACCGTAGCGAAAAGTATAATAGAGAAAAAAGAAGTTTCTTATAATTTTCCTTCGTAAAAATAGAGTCAAAGTACTTGTGCAACTTATTTTTCTATCTCGTATTTGGAAAATAGAATACGCAAAGGCGGGATATGCATACTTACATCGTAAGAACAGTCTTTTACAGTGGATGAATAATAAAATTTATATTCACTGACTGTAGGAAATGTGGTTTACAGTATGCAATTTCAAATCTGTGAATATGTAAAATCACTACCTTCCTGAAAAGTCACTTCCGATATTGTAGTAACTCTTTGGTAGTCCGGCAAATGTTTCAGGCATAAAAATGATATGACACACCATTAGCTTCTGATGGCTAAATTACGTATTTTCCATGACAGTTGTCTGACTGTTTAGAAAAATCCTAAATGTATTGGAAGTTGTCTTTCGTAGCGAGTAGAGGTAATTTTTCGATGCTTTGTTTATGATCAAAACTCTGCAACCAGTCTGAACTGGGCTTCGCTTTTATCCCACAGAAACTTATGTTGCAAAAGTCAGCTGCGTTCTGAATAGCACCTCGATGGAAAGGATTTCCCTGTTTGAAATGCGAGTATCGTCCGGCATTCATACGCTCGTTCGTTGTCATTCCAAGAACCATAATCTAATAAAAAATTGATAAAAACAACATAGTATCACTGATATAAATGATTATAACTCAAAGAAATAAAATACAAAGATAGTTATACAATATTCTTTACAATGTAGTAGCTTATGATACAAACCTGATAACACTGACAAGCTAACAGTGTCCCAACCCAAAAGAAGTGTAAAGACGTATTTGCAGTGACCCACATTACCCAAGCGTCACACGTAGCTGCAGCGACTAGGTAATTATCAGCGCTATGGCCATTTGTTAAATTTGTCCAACATTCGAATTGCCAATATTGTACACTAGCGGATAAAACAACGATACAAAGGCCTAATAATGAAGCTAAAAATCCCAGGAAATACTTGTGGTTATGCGCACCTAGAAGGAAAAATTGAAGAGTGCAAATATACTGTTGGAGATAATAGGTAAAGATTAGGTTGTCTAAAGTTAGACATTTTATGCATACGCGTTATTACCATAATAAAGTTATCCAATAGATTTAGTTTTATTAACTTACCAATACAATTGTTGACCCAAGGACAATGGTGATCAAATCGTGCCACGCATCGATCACAGGTTGAACAATGTTTAGATCTCATAGGTCTTCTGACCAAACAACTGCTGCAAAATGATTGTGGTTCAAAACCACCAGATTCTGCTAACTCTATAATCGTCTGAAAGTAATACAGTTAAAAATCATATTTTATTCGCAATAAACGATATGATCGGGACTACAGATATTTACATTTAATTTGTCCTCGTGTGTAGCTGTTATTACACCTGGATCACCCCTCCAGGACTGTAAGAAACATACCCATAGTGGTACCGATCCGCCTACTAATAACAACCATAAATACCATGCGGCATGTACGCCTAACCAAAATATCCATGTAACATATATCCACATCTGTAACAAGTGAACAGTAATTCGTCATATGTATGTGAAAACGATTAATCTGTAACAATCAGAAGGCAGAAGTGTTTTGATGATATCAAATAAAAAGTTTTTACTTGGTTTATTTGTGTGTGTTATCTAAACATTTCGTGATAAGGTAGTTTTATTAGTTATCTAAAATACATATACGTTAATGCCAGATATAATTAAATAGGTTTTCTGCAACGTTATTGAGTTTTACTTGATATAAAATTAATTGTAATGATAAGTTACAGTCGGACATTACAAAATTTGGAACCTACCTTTGTAGCCAAATAAATTGACATTGGTATAATGTGAAATAATCGTTCGTCAAAGACAAAATGATTAGCTAAATATAGTGCTATGTAAAGAGTGACAAAGGCACCTAATTTTACTAAATAATCCAATCCACTTTGAAAAATCATTCCAATCACATAGAAAACTATGAATGGTGTACTGACCATACAGTACCAACGTATTCTCTGAAAGCAAAAATCAAATATGAAGAAATAAAAGGAGGCTAGTGAAGTACTTGATAAACATACTTTGTCTCTACACCATGTTCTTGTTCTACCCTGCCTTTCTCTGATTTCTTGACTGATTTTATGTCCTAACCAGGCAGCGCCAATATGACGACCCAGTAACGTCATTGGTGTTTCATCCCGAATATTCGGCACATCTAACGATGCACCATGATGAACTAACGTTGATATTGCTGTACTATTTTCTGCTATAATAGCCCAATGCAAAGCAGTATTGCCATGTAAGTTATCCGCAAGTGAATGAGATGCTCCTAAAGTTAGTAACAAGCGTGTTGGATCTAAACTGTAAAAAATGAAACTTCAATGTAACCAATATAATGTGATCCTACGAAGGTACTTTTGTAATTAAGTGTCATTATTTGACCGCATTTACCTATTAACTTTATAGGCACTCCACATAAGGGGTGTCATTGCACTTCTGTCAGGCATATTTGGATTTACTCCTTTCGCGACTAGATAAGCAACGATAGATGTGTGACCAAATTGTGCTGCTAAATGAATACATGAGAATCCTTCTGAATCTCTGAGAGTGGGATCTGCCCCTGCTCTCATTAATATCACAACTGTAGATAAATGGCCCTGCCTAAAAATGATCTTCTATTACATTGTATCCTAAATATTTTATTCAACTTTGGTATTAAATAAAAAATTAACCTTGTGGCCCAATGTAACGGCGTGGAAGCAAGCTCACCACCAATTGCATCAACAACAGCTCCCTTTGCAATCAAGTATTTTACAATGTCTTTGCGATTATTTATCGCAGCCCAGTGTAACAATGTAACAGTTTCTGAGTCTGGCTGGTTTACATCAGCACCAGCTTCTACTAATTCAGTTACTCTATCCAAAGCCCCAAACTTAGAAAAATAAAATATAAATTAAAACATGTGAAAATAAGTTGATATAAGCGTTGTCTTATCAATTTAAAGCGTTATTACCTGCGTTGCTCTAACAATGTCAAACGAACTACAATCTTGTGCAGGAGGCCTAACAGGTTCTTGGTGATGGCTACTAGGATCATCTGGTTCCCCACTGCCTTCACTCTGACAGGCAGTTTGCATTTTTAATGCATACATGTTGACTTCAGTGTTATTACAGTCAGGATTATGTCATAGATATAAATTATGCATATAGATATAAATATCCTAAGGTTGTTTTGTATTGTAAGGTATTACTGAAACAACAACATTACTATGTAACACTTTTGTATTAAAAAATATTCATATATTATTAATTGCTAAATTACAATAAATTATTTTTTAATTAAAATTAGATGACTAAAAGAATCAGAAAACACTTTTTGTCTTTTCTAATTAGAGTTTTTCATTTCAGGTTTTTTTATTATTGTTTCTGAGAGGTGAAAAATGTATTTTCTTATCAAACTGTAAGAATAATGAAACAAAGGGTTAACGATCACGAATATTAAGCTACAGAATAACAAAATCATCAGCATTACTTTGTACGATTTATTAATGCTGATCAATTTGATCGACTGTAATGAATTCATCGTTTGTATTCACCGACTAAGTATACCGTGTTGTAAATACGAGGTGTACTATAAGGAACACATAGTGCGTAGTGACAATCGATTTTGTATTCGAGTTGCATTGTACGTTTCGATCATTCTTCAAGACAGTTCGAAACACGGTTATTGTATAAATGTAGTATTCCATAACCGTGAAATATACAATCTTTTCAATTACATCGGAGAAATAATTAATGTACTTATGTACTCATTAAACATCAAGATATTGAACGATTTCACGATAAGATTATTCAGTAAATTGTATAATTATCGGTTCGATCGGGAAATAAAACTACAAGACCGATTTCATAACGTGATATTTTACCTTGCAAGTAGTGACAGTATTGATAATAGGTGCATATAGTAGACGGCATGTTATCCTCGAATACGTCTCAAGGGGTTAGATTTAAAGGACAAACAGTCAGTGGGTGTGGGGCGCCGGTACATTGTATAGGATCCAAATAAGGGTTGACCTTTCCTTCAACTATAAGAAATAACACCCCTCTTGCAACTTTTTGTTATTCGCGATCCAGGACACGTTTCTCCTTTATTTCTCGCACAATTTCATTATTACTAATGTTTTCTTTTCGATAAGATGAACACGCACCGCGTACCACACGATACACGATTATTGATATCGCGTCACATGCACATTATGCTTTCTCAAGTTTTGCGATGAGCTTCTTATGTATTGACCAAACGGCTTCGTAAGCCGTCCGATCGGTATCCGATATTCATCGAACGTAAAGTTATCAACAAACGAGTCATCTGGCGGGGAAACTGGACAGAGAGTATCCTCTTTGAAATCGAGCGCCCTCTTCTTGATCTTTTAAATGACCGAGAAATCATAAAATTTCGAATTTATCTAAAAATTTTCTGATACGTTGTTAAAAATAAAAAGTTGTTATAAAACATGATGACGTGAGAATTAAATATAAGAAAATGCATGAACCAAATGTTAATGCAATGTTGTAACTTCGTTCTATCGCATGTGCGCAATCTCATACTGGACAGTATTGCGCGCGACGTTTTGAAAACTTTTGTTTAAAGGAGCCTCGTAATTTTCGTTGGTCATGTTCTCTTAATACTCACGAAACAAATGTAAATATTAAGTAAATAATGGTTATCACGTGGCGCTATAAGTTTCGCAACACGACAAGCACGATTTTTATTTCTGTTACGCTGTTACATTGTAACGTACACACTGCGTACCATGACACACACTATGTCAGTGCGATACTGCGCATGCAGGTGATCAGACATGAGCGCTCAGGCGCAAACCTGACTTCCTTGGAGAAAATGGCGATCAAGGGGAAGAGGCTCTCACCACCTGCTATAGTACCCGAGTATTGGCACGCATTATGCCTAATTCACAGGAATCGATAAGAACAAAGCTGTCTCAAATAAATACTTACTTCAGAAGTAAGCTGATTTATTCTCTAACAAAAAATAAACAATAATTTTTTGCAAAGTAATTAATTTAAAAAGTTGACAGTATTTTGAAAGCTTTACTTTCACATGCACACTCTGTTCGAGGACATTACTAACGTTATCTGACGGGGAGCGGTGAAGTTAAACGAACACAAAATTTTTTCGGCGCAACTTCAGAAAACTACTATGCTCCAATATTGACTAAATTTTGAAAATTAGCTTTTTTGTGAAAGAGGATAACTGTGAGTATGGTTTTTGGCTTCTTGAAAGAAAATTGCTATGCTTATGTCATTCCCTATATCATCGACAAGATACCGTATAGTACCTGAACTGATTTGAACACATAATCCGCGTTTTTGGATCTACGGAATATATTGCGAACCCCATAAAATCAGTATTAATGAATATATAATAAATATATGGCATATTAATCAATAAAATCGACATAAATTGAATTTTCACAAAAATGGAACAACTAGCGCCATCTCTCCGGCGAACAGGGTGAACTACACGTTTTTGTAACTGCAGTTTAATTAGTTCTCATCCTCTACCGCTAGGTGGCGGCACATAAGACAAAAATTAAGCTAATATAAAAATTAATCTCTCGTTTCGTTAGTTTCGCATGTAACAGCAGATGGTACTAAACGTTCAAGAATTTGAATCATTTCAAATGATTTTGTTTCAGACATTGCCAATAGAATTATAATTCTTATTAGACAAGTTCATATCAACAGTTATATTAGAAACGTAAAAGTTTCGCTATACCTGCCTTGTACTTATTAATAAAAAATATGTACATTTCTTGTTTTTAAGTTCAAGGTAAGGTACGAAGTGATCGAAAATATGCACAAACAGAAGATAAAAAAACGAGGTTACTACTCGGAAATCATCACAGGTAATTTAGTTTTCAAAAGTATTTAAATAGTTCAAAAAGTATTAGCGGACACAATGAATATTTAATTTTGTTGCATAAAAAGAGAGAAATGATACAAAATAGAGGAAGTAATTCATTATTTGTAAACAGTTGCTTCTTGACATATATCTAGGTACAGTGAAATATCCCGTGAAACCGGCAGTAGCACTTCTAGATGCTGCACCAAAGAGGACGAAACTTCTTTGGCAAGTTTTAACCGAACATCACAGTGCTCGTATCCAACCGCTGAAAGATAAAGAGAAATATAATTTTCTTGGCGAGGCAAAAAGATGGATCAGCTTTCCGGAGGATCGATCGATTGTAAGAAAGAGCATAAAGTTGAACAATTTGATTGTCGGCATCAGATTGTGTACTGATAATGTTATCATGTGAAAAACAAGACGCGATATAACCCGGTTATTTCGTATCATATGTCATTATTACTTCCAAAAAAATATATGTATATTTATACATGTATAATTGCATTTGAATATGCATAATTGCACTAATGTGTATGGTATTCCATACGAATCGCCAGTATTTATGGTAGCAATATAACACGAATATGTAGCACGAAAGTAAGGTGTTAAATATTTTTCATTGAAGTTAAGACAAGCCCTGTTTAAAAAGGTATTCCCAGCGGAAACATTCGCTCCAAAAGTGCAAAAAGAACAGAACGTAAAACCGAAAGAACTACCACGAGATGTGGAAATAGAAAGACGGCGACGAAGTTATAGAAACGTGAAGATGGATAATGTTCTGGAAGAGGAAGGAATTTCGCCGCGGGAAATGCTTCCGCCGGCCGCCGTATTGCCGTTATTATCCCACGAGGATATATACGGACTATTTGCTACGACACGTATATTCCCGTTAGAGATTTTTGATGACGAAGAATACGATTGTAGGTAGGTTTCCCGACCCAAAGAAGTATAAAGAGTTATGCATTATGGTCACTATGGCACTCTTGTTTGGAGTGGATCAGGACATTAACTTTACGGATAATACCAAGTATCCCCTATTATTTGCGACAATTTTACTCGACGAAGGGATTATGGTATTTTATGGTATTTTAAGTTAGGAGTAATATAATCTGCAGTGACGTAACGTCTCGAGTTTTAACTCAAGATAATTGATAATGCAATACGTCGAAAGCACCGCGTAATAGAATTGACCGACTCGTTTCACTTCAATAATTCCAAGATATAACGTATAAAAGTGCAGGAGTATGAGATTTAACGAAACGTAACGAGTGACGACGTATGCCTTCAGGTGTGATGCATAACGGTGCAACCCGTCGAAACGCGGAACATCGCAAACTGTTATTTCCGGAATTTCAATAAATCTAACGAAGGAAAAAACGGTCGCGAATTCAGTTATCCTACTTAATTGAATGCATACGTACACGCGGACAGAGTAGACGTTTTATTGAACCTCAATAAAATGCCGTCGCTTGGAAAAAGTAGTTTTTATAAGCGTTTCACGGATTTCTAAATAAAATGTTACGTATCGAAATTGGTATCAGATCCTTTCCATTTATTCAGCAAGGGAATCGATACGTTCTTATGACGTGTTTTTACGAAGGAAAATCCTTCATTTTCAATGTTTCATGTAACCACCTTCTTATCGACATTTCGCATTTCCAACAGAACAACAGAGGACTGGATCAATTTCAGTATTATTGATGGAACTCGGTATCCATTACCAGCCACTGTGTTCGTGGAAAGGTATCGCGATGCGGACGAGGTCATTCGTCTTGACGACAAGGTTTTAAATAATTTATACCAATGGTACAACGCGGCTGTTAGCGATTACGATTATGAAAATAAATTGTGGTCCGTCTTGACCCTGGATGGACACAAGAGAACGTTTTTACTCCCAAGGATTTACATTCGATTCTACGCCGAGGATCCAAGGGTTTTTGCCAAGAGGATGGCAAGTGCTATCGAACGTAGAAAAATTGCTGAATATTCTATAAAGTAATCGTCCCAGTATCTTCCACTTTAATTTATTCTTTCTTTACTTTTTTTATGTATAACAATAAATATTAAATCTTGATGGAGTTACCTGAAGTGCAGATGAAACTTTGGAATTTCTATGAAATACTACTTACTCAAAGTTTCAAGCAGTGCTGTTCTTCCTTGAAATTGAACGTTTACCTTGTTCAACTCTCTTTCTTTAATATTTTGAATATGGTAAAAGCATTATTGCATCTCTCAAAACGCGTAGCACAAAACAGCACTCCAGTGTAATCGATCATTTTACATTTAAAGTATTAACGAAGAGTTTATATCAGATTTTTTATTTGAAAACCAACATTCGATAAAATTTTATTCGAATGAATTTAACGAAACGAATGAATTTAATAAAACGTTAATTGGCAATTTATGCGATATTTTTTATTTCAAAATTAATATTTAATACGATTTTTTTTTGACATAGGTACAACTTTTATCTGGACTGTATGCACATGGAAGGCATGTTGGCTCTAAACGAAAAGCAGAAGGATACTATAGTTCGTTTAAGTACAAACAAAAACATGCTTAAATTCCCGGAATATAATATATCGGCAGTGCGTAAAGCTTATAATATGATTTACATTTAAGAAGATTAAAATTAATCTTTGCTACTTTACCGTTAACGGAAAATTACTGCGTAATTGTTTCTCAACAATAAACGGAGATAGGAACAATAATTGAATACAACGTTAGCTTTTGCAGTTTTTAGATTTAACGAAAATGTAAACAAGATTCATAACAGTTTTGAAGGGTTCTCTAATTTACTTCTTTAATAATAATATTCGTGTTCATTAAGATTTTATTTAAAAGTCACTCATGCATTGCATGATCTTCTTTGTCTCCTTCCGAAAGAGAGACAATCTCTGTTTCCGCACCCAGATAATTACGTACAAATTGGAAACTGATTGTGCTTCCCTTCTCGTTAGTTGATAAACGAGATCTCCTTGGAATATCAGCGCACAATGTGCGATCTTATGTGGAGACGAATGATACAGCGAAATCCTGAGATGTTTAAATTCATCAGCTGGACGCCTTCGGTGGAAGAAACAAGAGTACCGCGCAATGGAAAAATCGATACCGGCATGGAAAACTTTACGGTGATATACGATTTTGCGTCGCTGAAATCTTCATCTTTCTTCGCTTGACACTTTGACAGTCGCATATGTTTTATAGTATCGACAGACTTTGTGATTTTATATTTCTCTCCGCGATAAAGGATTATTAAGATAATTATATTTGAAAGCTAACACTAAGATTATATTATATATTTCAGAAAATTCAGAAGTTCGTTCATTGGTTCACATTGTACGTCCAGGAGGAGGTGTATCATGCAATGAGGTGTATCGTAGCAGAATGTATTCAGCTATCGTCCATGAATCTCTTTGCCATTAGTTACGGGAAATTGATTACGCTGTCAGAATTTGAAGAGCTGCAGACGCTAGCCACTACCACCGTTGTAAAATATCTAAAGGAGCCATGGTTGGAGAAAATTGCACAATCGGTGAGGATGTGCCTAAGGGACGTAGGAAAAGGTTGGTTCGACCTGAAACAGAGGATTCCTGGTGTGTACGATGTAATGAAATTAAAACGTTTTATGGACCTCACTACCCTACGTATGCAGGTATGCGGTTTATATGCATTTTCATGGAATCAATAACGCGACGATTGCTTTTTTACGCTCGTACTGCGACTAGAATTTGATTAGCTTTGGAATTCAATATCTGGTGCATGCACGAAAGAGTCTTTTGTCGCTCCCTTTCATGCTTTTGTGATTGCAGTGTATGAAATTTCAATCTTTCAATTTGTTATACAAATAAACAACATTACCGTTAAGGTTAGTGTAAATTTTTTAATTTAAAACTTTGAAAATACAGAAATTTGGTATTTCGGAAACGTAAGACTCTATATGTGGCCGTCGGTATAGTTTCAGACAGTTTCTAGACATTTTGTTTATGAGATGCAGATGTTCCCTGCTCGTAAACGTACCATTTTTATATCCCACCTATCCTATAAAATTGTTACTCAATGAAATCATAGCTCTCGATCGATAGACACGTTTCGACCCACCGGCAGAACATTTTCGTCGGTGTTGGTTTACTTTTGCATTTACATGTTTGCTTATAAAGCTATACAAGTTGCGGAAAAATGTGGAAGTTTATTTATAAAGATGAAGGTGACTTTCAATATTTTCTTTTCTCATTTTATAGCAACGAGCAATAGAGCGCAAGTTTTTATAAATTTCTGAGTAATATTTTTGCAACACGAATAAAACATTAGCTGTCAGAGTAAAATTCTCGCGGTAATTTTTAAGCTAGCTACTTTTGGATCACCTAATAAACGAGACATCTTTTATAAATCGGTGTAGTATGCGCTGAGAGTCCTAGTGGAGAATTCGATCACGTCATACGGCAATACACTGGAGAATCCAGCCTTGTGTCTCTTAAATATTGAAGATTCATTTACCTGGGGGCAGAATCTCGTCGAGAGTCAATTTAAATCGGTCTATAATCCCATCTTCACGATCGATATTCGAATAAACGATAGCGGAGCATATTATTCGGTCGATCCCGATCGTTTCGGGGTAAATTTAAATCCGCGGTGATTGACTCTGCAAACGCGGTTTAATATAATACCGAAATTTGCAGAAGTTAGGAATGACAATCAACGTCCTAATAAATGTCTATCTATTCGCAGGAGATAATCGTAGCAATGTACGATAATGCACTTAGCTTGTGCCATCAGATCAAACAACTGCATGTTTTTCTGCTTCCGGCGTTAAAATTCCCACCGGATCTTTTTCTCAGCTCGGTTGGTCTACTCGAGGAACACGTGTGCCAGATTCGGGAACGCTTAAAAATAGCGTATCGGAAATCCACGATACTCCTAAGAGCGTATGCCGTGGAATTTCTATCTTACCTGGAATTCTACAACCTCAACGTTGCACAATACATCGAGTAAATATCAATTATGCGAATTTTTCGGATATCGGGCATACTGCAGCATCGTTATATAATAATGTTATATCGCAACGAAAATTATATGTATAAAATATTATGTTCGTAATATAATCGGTATTCTAATGTTCAATTCAATCTGTTCCATAGAAATTTCTCTCAATATCGGTATTAATACACAGCCAAAACGTTTTAACGCGATTGAACGCATTTTTATCGCGCAGTGAATAAAATTTCACAGCTGAATTGTTTTAAGTAATTCAATACTCGACGAATTAAATTTCATTTCGATGTTGTAGACATTTCAAAGAGGAAGAGCATACAACGGGCGAGATTAAAGACGAAGTTGTTTTCCACAAGACTATGATGAACAACCTGGATGCCACCTTGCCGAAAACCATTTCAATTGGACCCTTCAGCGTGAGCGTGCAACCCCTTAAGGGCTTCCTTATGGGAAAACGTTTAGACTGTGCTACTGGGTTACTCACTATGTTCACGGAGAAACTTCGCACGGAAATTAACGACATCTTGGACGAATACACGCAAATAAGATTCAAACTGAAAGAAATACCACAGAGCATCGAACATATATTCGAAATTCGCGATTGGATGGAAACGATACCTTTGCGAGTTATGGAGCTTCAGGAAAGGATGGAAATATTGAAATTAGATTTCGATATTCTTGATAGTTTCTGGTGGAATTTGTCTGACGATGATTTCCAAGCTAAGTGGCAAGTTATTGGTTCACCGCTTCAAATAGAAAAAGAGGTGATGTTCTAAAAAGTGTACTTATCGTAATAAATGAAGTAACCTTTTTATTAATCGGAAACTCGATAAATATGAAATCACGATTATCGGTGAACGTATGTATTTTGCGGTAAATCAAATATGTTAACGTAATCGACGTTGGTTTGATTAAATATATACATTGAAATTGTCAACACTACGAAACCAATTCCAAAGGGCAGAAATTTGTCCCACGCGGTATTTCAATAATGTTCAAAACTACAAACTGCAACTTCGTTATAAATTCAATCAAACTTAACGCATGTTCCATTCACGCTACAGTTAATTATACAGAAGGTTTAGACTTTGTACATTCACTCCATTTCGAGAGTTATCTTTATTACCTTTTAATAATAATTAATTATCTACGATCTGAATCGCCGATTTTATAACTTCTTTACAGATTGACGAAACGAACGAACGATTTATAGAGGAGCAAGACAAATTCTACAAGATCCAAGTGCAGGACGAGGTATTATTGTTGGAACGAATCGATACCCTTGTGGGAAATGTATCCAATATAGGTCTCCAAACGGATATCAATCGAATACACGAGACTGCACTGGATGTGAAACGCGTTTGGAAGGCCATGACAGATTGTCGCGAGATGGGCTTGTTGTTGAACGAACGGCAAAAATTATTCGGCATGAAAGTGGTGCCTTTCGAACATCTCTACAAACTTATGAGAGACTTCGAACCGTACAGATCTTTATGGGTCACCGCTTCAGGCAAGTACCGAATCAACAATGTGTTTACGCTTCGATGACCTATCTGACAAAAAATCAAAATCACTGCCACTAAGACATGCCTGGAGAACTACCTGTTTCGTTGACTGTTAAATCAACTGTCCGTATCGCGTTTACTCGAGACACGAAATTACGGTACAGTGATCAATTTAAAGTTGTTTTAGCACAGCTTCTAACTCGAATTTCTGATTTATTTCGCTTTTGACCATGTAAAACGAAATAGTTGTCCGACGTCTCGCGTTGAAGTCTCTGTGTTTAAATTTGTTAAATTAGCAAATTAAACGCTGCATAAAATGGTCCCTTCTTATATCGCAGACTATGGGATCTTTTAGTAGACAATGCCACTAAAATTTAAAACCTGCTTTTGTTTCATAAAAGCTTGCCTATATTTTCCCTTATTTAATTTTTTAATACCAAAATCATTTCCATGCTCTGATTACACCGGAGATTTGGAACGTAATTATGATTGACGGAATTTAATATCTTTTGCAGGAAGATAAAACTTTGGAGGCGACTAAAATATCGTCTCGAGCTAATTTTATATTGAAAGTTTTATATCGTGTCTCGACGGGAGTTCAATTTCTCTTAATGTATTCTATAATAGAATTCTCCCTTGCGAATTGTAGATTGGCTTAGATGGCACGAAGTGTGGATGGATAATCCTTTGATGAATGTGGACGGAAGTCAAATTGACTCTCTTGTCATGGATATGTATAGGGCGATAACCCGATCCGTCAGAACTTTCCAAGAATTTCCGAGTAAGATACTCATGACACAAAAATAATTATTAATTGATAACCGTTCCTGTAGCGATAACCGTGCACGTAGTGTACGTAAACTTTTTCACTAATGAAAACTTTTCTTTTATGAATTTTTAAATTAAGAGGTCCAGGCAATAGCTACAACGATAAGGGATCAAATAGACGAGTTCAAACCGTATATTGGTTTAATACAAGCTTTACGAGACCCAGGAATGAAAGACCGGCATTTCGAAGAGTTGAGTCAAAAGACAGGAATTCAAATGGCTTTAACGCCTTCCTTGACGTTCAAGAGTTTGTTGGTTCTCGGTATCCAAGAGTTTGAGGAACTGGTTAAAACTGTGGCCGACACTGCGGCTAAGGAGTACGCTACTGAACGAACGTTGAATAAGATGATTGTTGAATGGGAAACAATCGCTATGGAGATACTTCCTTACAAGACCACGGGTGATTCGCTTTTTAACAAACTTTTAAGTGATAATTATAGAACTACTAATTATATAAATTATTCCTGAACTACCATCGTCATTAATCAACCCTCCCTTGTATTTACGGCCTCTTCAGTATCTTGCAGTATAATCCTTTTTGATAACACGATACAATAATAAAACGTTCGTTTCTTATATCCAGGAACATACATAATAAAGGTTGCTGAAGAAACGTTGATGCTGTTGGATAACCATATACTCAACGTGCAGCAACTTGCATTTAGTCCTTTGAAAACGGTCTTCGAGGATGAAATTAACGAATGGGAAAATAAGCTGAAGTTAACTCAAGAGGTATTGGTTCTGTGGATAGAGGTGCAGAGGTAAAAATACGGTTTATAATTTGCCTTCTAACAATAACTGGAAACACTGATTCCGTGTAGAGATTGGATGTATCTGGAGCCAATATTTACCTCGGAAGACATCACAACACAGTTGCCAGTAGAGGCGAGAAAATACAATGCCATGGAGAGAAATTGGAGGCGAATCATGAAAAGTGCCAAGGAAAACCCTTATGTAATTTCAAATTCAATATAGTTAATAACATGCAGTCATGAAATTGAAAGATACATTGCGAGTAAAAGTTCTGACAGAATTTTTTGGAGATTGATCTTAAAATCTACGGATAGTTGTGAAAATAGTGTCTATCTTTTACGAATACATGCACTGAAATGTTTCAACCTTTCTGCGAAATCAATTTAACAGTGTATTTCCTATTTCATTATCGGTAATCTATAATTGCAATTGGTGCGTTCAGAATATCGGGGATTGATTTTATAATTGAAGCTTCAGTTTGCACCACTGTGCCTTTGTGTCTCTAACTATTCTATTTACTATTCCGCAAACTAATTCTCCAATCTAAATAATTACAGATTATCAAAATATGTCCTGACGTGAATCTGTTGGAAAGTCTACAAGAGTGTCAAAGCTTGTTGGAAGTAGTGCAGAAAGGCCTGTCCGATTACCTGGAAGTAAAAAGGAAAGCCTTCCCGCGATTTTACTTCCTCAGCGACGATGAACTGCTAGAAATTTTGGCGCAAGCTAAAAACGTTCACGCGGTACAGCCTCATCTGAGAAAGTGTTTCGAGAATATACAGCACGTGAAGTTCGAGAGCGATCTACAGATCACTAGAATGTATTCAGCAGAGGGCGAAGAAGTAGTGTTTCGCCCTCCGATGTATCCTGAGAGAAGCGTGGAATTCTGGCTGAGAGATATGGAGAGAGTGATGCGGAACACCATAAGAGAAATCATCCGTGATGCGCTTGCGGTGATCGATACGACCTCGAGGAAGAAATGGGTCTACATGTGGCCGGGGCAAGTTACCCTCTGCGGCGGTCAAACCTACTGGACCGCGCACGTTGAAAATGGTATCCGGAAGAATAATTTAGCAGGGTATTACCAGGAACTGTTGGGACATGTACGTGTGTTCTTTTTTGATCAAGAATTATAGTAGAGGTAACAGTAGGAATGATTAAAACTGATCGGGACTTTATTACGCTATCGTGTTACTGTAGCAAATATTAACTTAGGTATTTTAGTACGAAAGAATGTAACTGTGTAATTTCGTAGTTTCATCCTTTGAGTAGCTCGACGACCTTCGCGAGTTGGTGCGCGGCCAACAAACGGATGTTCAAAGGCTGATGTTAGAAGCTGTAATAACTATTGAAGTACACGCGAGGGATGTTCTATACAGACTGTTGGAAGAAAAAGTAGAGACTGTGAACGATTTCAACTGGATATCGCAGTTGAGATATTATTGGGTAGATGACGAATTGAAAGTGCGAGCCGTAAATGCTGAGTTCTCTTATGGGTAATTAATATTATTTACACTACTTACAGTGGCAAGAACTTCGCCATTTTAGAAAAAGTTATTCAAACCCATTAGCTGTTACAAATATTTTAAATTCCAAATTGTTTAAATTATGTCATTGTCACTGCTTTCCATTTAGAGAATCCACTCGCAAGGTTAAATCTTCTAGTTTTCTTAAAGCATTAAGAATTTCTTCTGCATGAGAAAGTAGCATTCTAAAAGACGTAAAGCTCTTGGCACTTTCATCATGATAGATGTCGTTTCAGACACCTTTGTCAACGTTTGAAGAGGGTGATTCTAGAAAGGGTTGACAAACAAAAGCTCTCACACAATTCACCGTCACGTCATTCCCTTACAGCCCGTAGAGTAGACACGAGGAAATTCCTATAATTGAACGTAAAACCTGAGCATTTAGTAAACATCCGAATAAAAGGATGAAAAAATAACGAAAGTTTATTCAGAATTAAACGAGATAGCTTGTTTTAAAGTTAACGTAATCGGATTATCGTATATGGAAGTAAAATATTTCGAAATAAATGATCATGTACTCTGCACGATATTAACTTTGTACGTGGGAATGAAACGTAGAAGTTTATCAGAAGAAGTACAATTCTTTTTCTTTTTATTTCCAATAATTTCGTGAGAAAGTACTTCACGTATACGTACTTCGACTTATCAATTTTTCTGTAGATCTCGGTAAACTTTAAGTTCCAAAAGTAGTATAAGCACTCCCACACGAATATACATATCTTTGATGAACTGTTCGACAGTTTATTTCTCTTGATTGGAACTATGAAATGGGTCGACGTAAATGTTTGAAATCTTGCTTCAAACATCGTAGCAAACTTTCGACCCTATTATTATCTGTTCCGACAGTTCTACATTAATTGCCCAACGTCCTGGGGCAGATTAAGCATTATCTTCCAGCAAATTACAATTGTCGCGTTAATGTCTACCATAGATACGAGTATCTGGGGAATACGGGAAGATTGGTTATTACGCCGTTGACCGATCGATGTTATCTGACTCTCACCGGAGCTTTACATCTGAAATTTGGCGGAGCACCAGCCGGACCTGCAGGAACCGGGAAAACAGAAACGACGAAAGATCTCGCGAAAGCGTTCGCCATTCAATGCGTCGTTTTCAATTGTTCCGACCAGCTTGATTTCATGTCTATGGGAAAATTCTTTAAAGGTCTTGCCAGGTAATTTTACACTATACTATAAAGAATATCGATTTTCGTTCTCGAGTTGCCGAGTTTATTTTTCATATATTACTTCTCACATCCCCAGAATTTTCCTCTCTCAGGGAAAATTATGTTGACACGTTGCACGGTGTTTGCGTATATTGGATAAATATCCGACTATGTATTTTCGATATTAATTATTTATGAATTACAAGTTATTATAAAAAGAATATCTATATTACTTTATTATTATTAAAATTCAGCGCAGGTGCGTGGGCGTGCTTCGACGAGTTCAACAGAATCGATATCGAAGTGCTGTCCGTTATCGCTCAACAAATTACAACGATCCAACAGGCACAGCAGATGCGCGTCGAAACGTAACTTTTTAAAATTCACTGATTTAATTATTTGCCTTGGAAATACCGCTTGTTTACCTCGAGCTGAGAGCTTCAGCACGTTCTACTGGATTTTATGGTTCTGGCCTTAATCCTTCCAAGATCGAATTTTAGAACAGAGTGATCAACTCTTTTACCGGTTATTGAAAGTTATGGAAGTTAAAAAAATAACTTCCATAACTTATAAGCAATTTTTAAAAGTATGATTGCATTGCAGGTTTGTTTTCGAAGGAGACGAAATCGAGCTAAAGCCGTCTTGTGCCGTGTTCATCACTATGAATCCAGGTTACGCAGGTCGTACGGAATTACCGGATAACTTGAAAGCATTGTTCCGTCCAGTGGCTATGATGGTCCCAGATTATTCTTTGATAGCCGAAATTTCGCTGTTTTCGTATGGCTTTAGCGACGCGAAAATTTTGGCCGGGAAGATCACGACAACATTCAAGTTAAGCTCGGAACAATTAAGTACACAGGTCAGGTATTAACAAAATACCAATTTTCCATTCTCTTTTTCAACTCGCGAATTAAATCTAGGATATTCGTAAGCGGATTAGTTTCCATTTGTTAAAAGTTTTGAAAATATTCTACCAATGATTCGGATTATAAACCACATGGCAAAGTTGACGAATTCCAAATAGTGGATTAACTCTTTGAGGCACACTGTTTTAAAGTAAACAAACCTCGGCACAGAATTTTTTTATTGTAAGAAAGTAGAAATTATTTAACATAAATCATTAAATAAATAATAAGATTTTAATAAGTGCTTTTATATGGGGTGGGTTGGTGCATAGGGCATCGTCAACATAATAAGAAAATATTAAATTGTATGACTATGAATAATCTAAACTTTTCGAGGTTCTAAAGGGTTAATCTTTGTACAGGATCATTACGACTTCGGAATGCGGGCGGTAAAGACGGTAATAGCGGTAGCAGGAAATTTGAAAAGGGAACAGAAGGACTTGAATGAACAGCAGATTTGCTTACGTGCACTGAGAGACGTAAACGTTCCGAAATTTTTGAAGGATGATCTGCTATTGTTTAACGGTAAATATATACATATATTAATATATGTAATTTTAATTTTTTAATGTATCGATTGTTTAACTCAATTGTCTCCAATCCTCAAAATTTTAACAGAGCGTTATTTGTCGCTTCAGGTATCGTGTCCGATCTGTTTCCACGTTTAGAAGAGAAACAAGTGGATCATGGAATTTTGGCAGCAGAGATTCGATCGTCGATCTTGAGGATGGGTATGGAAGAAGTAGACGGTAAGATTTATTACTATTCAGCATGTATAACGTTACAATTTTCAATCAGTTCATTTCGAATTCGAGCGTAATAATCCGACAGATTTCAGAGTATTCTGAGCTGCTGAAATCGAATTAGTGCTTCGTAATTAAATAGTGCGCAAGGACTGCACAAAATACTTGGAAATAACAGATAATGAAATTCCATTTATTCGATTACAGAGTTCGTGAAGAAAGTTATCCAGTTGTATGAGACGACTGTAGTGCGACACGGGCTCATGCTGGTAGGACCAACTGGTTCGGGAAAGACAAAGGTAAGTGATATGTAGAATATACCTGCTCCAATTATCTCGTCAGTGAGAATATTTACACATGACCTTTCTCGTTGGAATAAATGTTGAGCTTCCATTCACTTGTCACCCTTTATCGTGAAAATTATTCGACGCTCTTAATCCAAGCAAAAGGTACCCTTCAAGGTATTCGGAACGCGAGAGAAATTCAATTTTGAAAGAAATCGTGTATCTGTTTCTGTAGAGTTGAAAGGAATGAGCAACGTTTTCAAAGCATCCTATTCACGCGCGATTACTTCCGTTCCTCGCAACAGGTCTCACGAGTAAAAATGGGATCATCCCCAGGGTACTCTTCCATTTGTATAAAAAGAGCTTTCGAAAGAGGAATAAGTCGAACCAGAATAATATAAATAAATAATGGACGTGTGCTTTTTACTTTACAAGGGGTTTTATCGTGTTCCAACGTAGGCATATTTTATAGTTTGATGCGTCAACTATAAGCAGAACGTTAAGAGACTTAACGCTTATTTTTCATCTATTCCTAAAAGTACTTTAGTACGCTCTTTGATGGATTTGTCGCAACTTGCATCTTTAAACAGCTCTAATTTTTCGCTAGTGGATGGAGTATTGAAAATAGTCAAATATTACTTACCTTTTGAAATTCCAACACGCATATTATTTATTAAATTAAACGGAAAATAATTACACGCTGAACCGTAATTACTGTCTAAATAGTAGTATCCAATTTCTATATTTGCAATATTGATAAAAATACTTTATGCAACAATTATCGGACTGCCAGGTTTTAATTAACGTATCTGGTATGCTAATAATTATAGCTTCCTACTTTTCGCAATTTCAGAATTATATTTTATAATCGAATCATTCATTTATTTTCGCGTTATTTAAACAAAAATCTTGAGTATGAAAAATGAAAATAAGAAAGAGGAGGGGATTTTAATATTGTATGGTACAACATCGTGCAGCTTGCTGTTCAAGATAATTTATTAGCTGAAGATTTCTAGGTATTTTACAAAGTAAAACGTGATAGTTTAATTTAAAAAAATATACTAAAATACAATATCAGAAGGACCATTCATCTCACAGGGCGACTTTCAATGAATCTTCACTGGAAACATACACGTAAGTGTCTACGAAAAACTCATCGTGTCTGGTTCTGATTACGCGTACCAAATTAACTACTATTTACACATTTTTGCTTTCAATTGAAAACGATATCTAACAAAAGGGAAATTATATTAGACTTTGCCCTGTATCATTACCTTACAGTTCATTAATTTTTAATATCACTATACGGGGTGTTTTATAGAACGTGGGTCTTGTAAACACAAGTAATTTTGAATTTTGTTACAAGAGACATTCAATAACTTATCAAGAACTTGACTCTTGTGACGTTTAAATATTTTGTGTCTTATTCCACGTGTTATGAAACACCGTGTATTTCAATTATGTACATACACATTTTACAACGAAAAGTAATCGAACGATACCTGGTTGATCCATCGAAAAATCGAATTATACAATGACACACAGTTACGACACGTTGCAATAAATCAACATTTACAATTACATCGATACAGTATGTTTATAATACATGTACACTTTGTCACATTTAATACTATGCCTTAATTAGGAATACTATCGATACATTGACTAATGTGGGGGTCATCGATGGCCGACCTGAAAAATATGCTTACAGTATAAATTACGATGTAAATCATCGTTGACTAGAGCTTCGAATAATCGGGAAAAGAATGTTCTAATCTGTACAGAACTTACGTATGCAGATTTTCTAGTTTGAATGGCTTATCGAGATATTAAGGAACCGCGAACCCTCTCAAAGTCTCAAATAATATCGTATCATAATTTAGTGCTTACAGGAGTTTGCGAGATGGATTAATGAAGCTTTCAAGAGCTCAAGAGCTCTATTCTACTTGGTTCACTGAATCTGTGTAATTTCAGGAACCTCGACGAAACGCTCGATTTTATCGTATGCGATTAATTTATGCGGTTTCGGTAAATCGCTGAAAAAGATTCCAAACGAAAGTCGAATGGATGTTAGGAATTAATAAATTGTTTTTGACTAGTGTTAAATAAAATTATTGAACGACATTGTTGAGAATTAAAGAATTATATCATTTGCATTTTATTCGAAACTTTCGGTTCTATTTGTTAGTTGATTCTTAAATGAGTTAGGAAGTAAAATTCAAACTCTAGTCACGTTCACTGCATCTCTTCTAGAGTGTTATGCATGTTCTACTATTCTATTTGAGTGCATTATATGCGGAGTACAAAGTAGCTTAAATTCTGACGCTTTCATGAAAAATGAACTTATTTTAACCAACTCTGGAACAATATAGGCTTTGATTAATGGTTTCCACAGAAGTTTAACCTCTTTAAAGTCATTTTTATGTATTTAAAGGTCACATGTATTACCATGCTTTTCTAACAGATTTAAAACGTGCAACTACGAAATCATTCTTTTCTAAACTTAAAATATCGTTCCTCAGAGGTTAAACTGAAAGGAAAAGTTCATAATTTCGATAACGATCAACACTTTGTGTCTATTTTACGTGGCTCCGAATTATAATACGCAATCTAAAAAGTGACAGTTAATCGAAACTTTTCCCATTTTCCTTCGGCATTTCATGCTCTATAACTTCAGCAGCCTTTTTACAGAGGAAGCAGACAATTTTATGAAACGCATCAAATAAGACGGTAAAAAAATTCCAGAGCACGTTGTATGTATAAAGTGATACAAATATCCCTTTTGATAATTTTGTGGCTTGTATCGGAGAAAGTTTAATTGGCAATTTCAACATGGATCAATAAAATATCCTGTTTCTATTTTAACGAGTTCCAAAAGTTTTCAGCAACTTCTTAGTTTGCCAGAACAAAATGTAGCGTACATGTTAGTATTATTCGTTTTGTTATTAATTATTAAAATTCGTAAAAATGTAGTGGTTCTTCGTACTCGAACATTTGAAATGTTCCTTAACAATTTCGCTGATGTATCGTAAAATAATAACAGTATCGTAGGAATACGTAAACCGAAAGAGGATTTAAAAGTAGCAATAACCAGACAGGAAGGAAACGTGGTATCGTTCGATTATTGGAATTTCTTTGGCTCGTGAGTGAAAGTGACGGGCAACTGCGAACCCAGATCGGATTTATGTCGAAAGTATAAGGATTATCCGGGATTTTGCACGCTCAGTTAAATTGTCACGTACCGCATTCTTTCTCCGTCTGCTCGCGAACAAGGAACTCTGATTCCTCTTAGGAAAGTTTGTTTGCTCTGCTTGAATTTCTTGTTCATTCTTGACGAAGGAAAACAACGGAGATTCGAAATTAGATCTTTTTTCTGCTCGGATTGAACCATCGTGAAAGGGCGTGCTTATAAGAGGAAGTTTGTAAAGCAAACAGTACGCTAACTTCCACTAAAACGGTAGTTGATGTAAAATTTATTGTTAATAGGTTAAAGGATGTTTATTTAAGGAAGTGCTATTTAAAAGCCAGTCTGACAAAAGCAAGGTTTTCTTGGTTCTAGATATTATAATTGCCTGTAAATAAAACGAAGTACTTCGACCGATAAAAAGAATATTTCGATTGAAAAAGGATTTCGAAGTTAGAAAAAGAACACGTGCGGAAGAAATCAGAATGTTTCGTAGAAATGTCAATATAAATTTGGAATGTTTCAGAGTACATTGTGATAGGCGTCCTGATTGTTGGGACGGCGATACGTTTTCGATGTTAAATCTTTTGACAGCGAAAATGATTGCTTTCCGTGAAAATGCTGTGTACCTTTTGTTCTTAATGATGGTGCGAGAAAAGGGACAAAAACCTGTCAAGCCTTCCCCTCGAATATACTACCGACAATAAATTAAGCTGTCTGCATCGAAGATAAATCTCTTCCCTCCTTTTTTTCTGATATTTCTTGCATCGTTTCGTTTTTTCGTTCTTCGCTATTTTTTAAATTTGCGACGGTCACCGATGAGCCTCCTAGCGATTATTTATTAAATACACGTCGGAATATTGAAACATAAGTTGATAGAACAAAATCAACCTAATCGAATGTCTTTTATATTTCTTAGAACTAGTTACATCTTCCTGTAGGAATCCGGGAAGCTTACCGAAAATTTGATACCCGTTTAATTAACAGTTTCATCGTAATAAATTTTCAAGAGTCGCCTTTGCTTTTAGCGTTTTAATTTTAATCTCACGTTTGATGTAAAAAACGATTAATTTAAGAAGATTAAAGAACTTGATACTACGTCGAAAGCATAAAGCTTTCCCGAATTTCCGAGTGGAATTTGTTAGAATCGCGAAAAATACGTAAATTCAGTTCTCAAATCACTCAACGCGTACACTTTTAAATTATCACTCACTGAAACAGAATAATGTACACGCAAGCTACTTCAATTTGGAAATATAAATAAATACGAGTACAAATTCTATGTACAAAATATGATTTCCAAAGTATCATTGAAAGAAATAGCTAAATAAATACAGCGTCGGTGTTCCAGTTCTATATGTAAATACATTTTAAACAGAATATCTCGATTGTTTCAATCGCTATTAAATATTGAAAAATATAAATAACTAAAATTCATGCAGCCTCATGACGTACATTTGACGATAATAAAAAAAACAATTCAAATCATCGCGAATGACGTTCAAAGATCACCGTTATTTCATCGCGAAAATAATTTCGATATTTAACTTATGCGAAACAGCTTATTTAAACATCGAGCCTTTTTGACATTTTGATTCGATATCCCGGCAAGTTCAAACACGATTTCATTAAACTCTCTGTGAATGGGGTATATTATTTTACAAATTCTCCTAGCAAACGTTTCGAAATATGAGATAAAGCGTTTGCGTATCCCCTAACCTCAAATATACAGAAAATTGACAAATATACAGAATTGCACGGTGAAAGATATTTAGTCGACTTGTTTACGAAACTATTTGCCGTCGAAATTTGCAATAGGTCATATGCCTCGAGATTAATATTTCGAGATACATTAGACTCTCGTTATATTGCCACTAACGCAGCGACGTTAAGTCAGTCGATGGTATGGTAACACGTAACTACACAAGTACAGTAAATACAATTGGCTTAGCGAGTTTACAAATGTTTCGTGCAAACTATGCATGATACGCTGTCATGCTGTGCTATAGGGAATAGTGGTTCCTTCCTACATTCCCACAGATTTACATGACTGGTTATCGCGTGTCAAAGTTCATGTACTCGTTGATTGGGCAATATAACGAAAGTCTGTCGTACATTGAGATCGATTTTACGAGTGTCGTCCAACTCCTATAAAATGGAAAATTGACTCGGATTCACGAGCAGTTAAACAATTGAATCCTCCATTAATTTGTACGTTTTAATTGCGCCGGTACTTCCTTCAATTTTCTTCGTTTCAAACTTTTCTTGTCATTCGCAAGCTGCGTAAAAGTTATTTCACTTCTAACTCGTTTCTTTTATCCAATATATTTGTTCGTAACAGAACCGTCGAATCGAAACTATTAAATATTCTTTCATTGATAGTTTACGGTGCTAAAGAACCCTGTTTTCATCGAGGTAATTTCGTATCCAAGACGCAATTTATTCGTCGTTACGTTTGCCACCACGAATCGCGTTCTTCGATCGAAGTTCGGTGACAACGATATCCGTGATTCTCATTCGATTGTCAATAAGAAACACGCTTATATGTATCGTTGCGGGTTGCAATGGTACCTGGTCATGCTTTTGAGCAGTTTGCGCAACAATTGTTGCAGGCAACGCCGAAACGTAATCCCGCACATCGCGTACAATAGAAAGTTGATGCTGAAGTTGGTGTAATAAAGCAGCATGAAGAACTGCTGCAAACACCAGAGCAGGTCGGGCGTGTTTTTATGGGCCAACGTGAAAAAAAAGACGCACAGACGGATCGCGTAGCTGGAAAACAACAATATAATTGTTAATATTCTCCTTTGCCTTTCCTGCAAACATTCATTGTACGATTATGCGAAATTATATTGTTCGCGATGATGCGCACCGTGCCAGCTTTATCACGATATTCCTCATCAAAAGCTGCATTTAATTTGCTTTTCAAATTCTCATGCACGCGCTCTCCTTTCTTTGTATTCATTGTAATGTATTACTTTTTTCTCGGAACGTAATTTTCTAAGAAATTATACTTTCACGATGGCAAAAAATTTGTTAACATTCGTCGTCATCGTATTACCGTTTCATCTAATTATCCTACTACTTCGCTATTTCGTTATTACATTATATTATTACTCCACAATTTTACCATTATATTGCAAATTCAAAAAATATTTCGCGATGCATTTAAATTCGGTTTTCGATTTGTTTTCACCCGTAGAGTCTCTCCGCGGCTTCCGTCATCAATATTCGGGATTATTGTCGAAGCGAGCGGTAAATTACAGTAACTATCCCCGTTCGTTCTCACTTACCTCGGTGAATTAAGCAGGATGAAAACGGTGCTTATCAAAAGCAGCATCTGTGTGATGCTCTGCTGATTTCTCGTTGATACGAGATTCCTTGACGACGATCTGATGTCTGCAACATAGTCAAACAACATAAAGAAGTTAGACAACTGATGCTTAAGTTTCCTCTTTGCCACCAAAGTCTAGGACTAGATTGCTCTTGGGAGCAATCTAACTTCAGGAGTCGTATTTCCGCTTCTTGTACCTCGTACGGATAACAAAGTTTAAAGTAACTGCGAAACCGAATAGAAAGTCAATTTAATTCACTTTATCGAGCCTCAAATCGTTCCGAGAATTTGTTTAATGTAAGTGAACTAATCGATCGCGCGACCGTGTAAAGTGGAACACGATTAAAGGAGCAAAGAAAATTCAATTGTTATGTGGTAGTAATCTAGAGTTTTATAATAAAATTTCAGTGGTTTCCATGTTCCTTCGCTTTGAAGTAAATTCTGTATTGGTTGCCGCAAGGTACGTCAAGTGTATTAGGTTAACCCTTTTTGACCAAAGTAAATTTGGAATCAGTCGTTAACGTATTCTAATCCTGAATCGCAGATTCTCAGGAATTATCGGAGTATTAAGCGGAAGCTAGATGTTCGAAGAGGATTACACATAATTGAAAACACGCTTACGTATGCAGCGAGCTGCTATTTCAGGTTGCTGGCAAGCGATTCGTGGCGTGGATGGCGGTGCAGACGTGGTTTGTTGCCGGGAAAGATGGGAATGATTATTCTTCGACGAGTGAAAAGATTGTTGAGATGGCGGCCTTCGGGTTCCGACCATTGATCCAAGATTGATACCACCGGCTCCGTGGTTACTGCTGCTTCCACTCTGAAAATTCACGCAGAACATTGCTCGAATTCCTTGCGTTGCAGCCGAGTTCCGAACATTATTCCCGCTATCATAAATCCTCGCGAGCTTTCAATCACCGTACTCGTCTCGATTAAAACAAAAAGCAACTACTCTGTTCGAGTAAATCGATAGCTTTGTTCATTAAAATCATAAAATGTGACGCAGCACAGTGGATTACATCGAACGTGTAAAGCGAATGCAAATTAAAAAGATTTTGTCCGTGATTGAAAAATTGTTACCCAACTTCAAAAACACTGCAAATTTATTTGTTCGTAGGTAACTATCGCTCACCCCCAGTAATACGGTAGAAACTCGCTCGATAAAAACCAAACGCGTTACTTTTGTATGTGGTGTATTCTTCTGCTCGCTATTTTTGACGTTTCGTGTTAGTACCGAAAGAAATGCTTGTTGTTTTTAAGATTTTTAATCGTCGGACGCTTCAAAAAAGTTAAGCAATCTCGTTATGTTTGATCTACTTTGCAGAGTTATGTTTTCGAAATAGCGGTTGTTGATTTGTATAACAAATTATTCCCTAATATTATCTTCGCTGAAAGTAGCACAACTTGACCACACGCAGAAATTGCAGACGATTCAATTACGCCACTGTTGATACGAGATAACCCGTAACAATGAAGATTCACGGGGCGCCAATAATTTTTCAAGCACGATATCAGCTTCTAGATACGTCTGAGCATTATGAGCATCGTTAGTTAGGATATCGTGTTAGGTTCTATATCGAACATGCCCCTTTGTTACCGCACCGCCGTGTCCCCATTTACCCTGATCGTCCTAAATGCTTACTTCGTTATTGAGCTAACGAAGAAAATATTTCACGGACAAAATTGTACAGTTTCTGTACCTTGCGAATGTCGTCTCTCGTAAATGTAATTACGCTTCCGAAATTCTGTTAGGTTAGGTCCAGCGATAGGTGGATCGAAAGTTCACGGATATTTTTCTATAAAAAAACTGAATGATTGGTCGCACTCGATCGTACCGATTAAACGGTTGATTAATTATCGAATACTGATCATTAGTCGCGCACAAAAATACCGCTGCAACGAATATTGCAGTGTGATCTCGCGAAAGGGGTGAATTATATTGAAGGTTAACGATCATGAATAATTCAATACCGCGAGATGCGAAACGAACGAAATTTGACGAGTCCTCAAACACTTTCGTGTCGATGATTCGGCAGATAAGTGTATATAACATTTTCCGGGTCATGGCCTCGCGAAAGGAAAGTTCTTCACGCTGTTGAAAATTCGACGGAATACATCGAGTATGAATTCAATGAGCTACGAGTGTCATTAACGGTGCTATTAAAAAATGCGTTCATCTTGGTTCAACATTTTTTAACACCATGTGGGTTACTGTATCTATTCGTCGCTAGACCAGATTGAAACGACCTTACTTAGTCAGTTAAGAATTTTTAGTATCGCTGTTAAACTTTTAAAAGCGGTACTCGAGATAGTACTGACTCAAAATGGTTTTCTTTTTTTAATCTTCATTAATTTTGAAAATATTCAACATTGTTGTAATTATATAACTGAAAATATTATATTCAGCTGACTAAATTTGTAAGCACTGTTAATTTAACAGTTTTCTTTCTTCATGCTGCCCGTTAATGATCCTCCTGTTAATTTATTAACACTTTAACGACCGCACGTCTACGCAGTCAAACGTCGCCAGGGGCCGGCAGTATTTTTGAAGAATTAATTTAAGAGAACTTTATTAAATTCACGAAAAAGTTAACATAAAACAAAAAACGACAACAATTTAACAACAAATTTAATATTTCGTAGAGCGCCGACATTTGCTCCATAATTTATATGGTACACCACTGTAGTGTAAAATGTAAAATTAAAAATAGGCAATAATTACCTAAAATCAAAGACGTGGCGATGAAATACGAAGCCAATAGCAATATCCACACTTGTTTGCATTCGTAAATTATCACACAGAAAGTGTGGTAACGGTTGTTCCGGCTATCACACACGTGTTGTGTGAGCGGTCGTTAAAGTGTTAAGAATAACAAAAAAGAATTTGATAATACGATACTGCAATGTCACGTTGTACTTCTTTTGCAAAGTCATGTTCGGCATATTTCTTTTAAATTAATTGAGCATGTTATCTGTTTATCGCCATTTAGTGTTATCAGTATTTCTAAACTGTCGCTTTGTATAATGGCTGTTACGAAAATACATTACACAGATTATAGTGACGTTATCCATTGAACGCGAAGGGGTAACATCTGTCAGTCAAAAACGAAATCTCACTAATGCTTTAGTATTATGATTATCTCACCCATGCTAAAAATATCTGTGATGTTTTTACGTTCGCGTTACGGTAAAACAGTTACGAATATCTACGTTCCTCTAAATAAACTTCTTCTATTCAAGTGTTTATAAACGAACGAGATACGCTCCGATTAAATTGTCTAGATCGGTAAGATTCGAATGAGTCTTGTTGAACAAATTTCCGTGTAATTCCGTCGTAACGTAAAGCAGACAATTTACATCGTTTGGTGGCCACAGAAATCTACGGTACACACTATTTTCCATTACATTTGTTTTCAAAACAAGATTAAAATAACTTCGAAAACATACTCGATTTTGATTACACTCTTTATTACGAGAAATGTTCACTCTTTTAACGTCCATTTCAGGTACATTTTCACTTTACTTCGACTGCAACATTTTCAAGAAAAAATATCGATATTGCGCTCCACACGCTTCTCATATAATTCAAAAACATATTTCATTATATAAGACAAAAACATATTTCAGATTAACGTAATCTGTGTAGGTTTGCGATCCCGTATCAAATCATAAAAAAACTATTCGTAACTAAAGAAAACCTAGCTTTACTTTATCCTATCTATTTGTACAGATATTCGACTAAAAAGAGAATTTTTAAAACTGACGATCAATAAATCGAGGATTTCGAATCCCAAGTTATTTCGGTCCATTTCCATGGGGAATAGAGCGAGTTTAATCCCTCGAAAATAGAGAGACCAAAATGACATTTTCCAACGTTCGAATATTCAAAATGTTTAAATTTCCAAAAGCCACTTGATAAAGCATAAAATAGGTCATTCACAGTATTACTATGGTAACAAAGTTAACTCACTATAGATAAGCGCGATAGTTACGTAAATGCTCGCGTTTATTTTCCATCAACCCATTAAACATTCGAATAAGAAATTAACTTTGATAACTCTGGGAATAAAAAGTGTCTTTAGCTTTGAATCTCGTTCCTGTGTACAAACATTTATCAAGATATTCAAAAGTATTTAGTGCAGCAGATTTCTGCATCAATGAACGCAATCATCGATTTCACTGACTTAATTTATTATTTATTTCGCCGAGACCGTTCCATTCACTGATGCACCATTACAGCTACCGTTTATTCCTTTCAAAGAAGCTTCGTTCTTCGCCCGGAAATTCAGCCAGAATCCACTCTCCGGCAATAAACTGAAATTCGACTTCCTATACTTCATAGGTATTTGAGTTTTAACACACGGTTCCACGTCGCAACGCCACAGCAGATAAAAGATGAGGATTTTCGATTCGAGGAGAGCGAATCTGTTTCCGATACAAATTCTCGGACCTAATCCGAATGGAACATAAGCGTGCACCGGTGGAGCGTTTCCGTTCAAAAATCGACTCGGATCGAACGTCATAGGGTCTTGATAGTATTTCGGATCGCGTTGTATAGCAAAAGGTGAGATCCATACAAGATCGCCTGGTTTCAACGTTACGGGTTTTGCACCCGGCGTTGCGGGAGGCAGCTGAAACTCTTTCACGCAAATGCGATCCAAAGTAAACGCCAAGGTGTGTAACCTATTGGTTTCGTTCAGAACGGCGTCCAAGTATTGCATGTTCTTGATGTCTTCGTAAGTAGGATTGCCGTTGGTTCTTGCGACCACTTCCTCGACCTCTGCTATTACTTTAGCCTTCACGTCCGGATGCACCGCGATTTCGTGCAGCGCGAAAGAAAGGAACGTCGAAGATGTGTCGTAGCCAGCAAAGAAGAACACGAATGCCTGATTCGTCATCTCCTCGATCGTTAGGGCTCTATCTCCTTTCTCTTTAGATTCCATCATCAGTTGGATCATGTCTGGCCGCGTAATGCCCTGTTTCGAACACAAATCAATGATCGATGATGGAAAATATAGTACAGACAAGGCGGAAATACAGAAATTTAAAGTACTTGGTGTTCTTGCAAAATTTCTATCTCGTCGGTCTAATATCGCTTCCCGATTACGCATGTTATATGTATTACCGATTAGTGGATTTTATCGTAATCCGGCACGTGAATTACGAGCGTGTATAGAATATCTATTCCATTAACGTCAGCATTGAAATAATACAAGCAAGGTTTCACTTTGATGTCTCGGTGTACATATCGCAATAGATATTACGCTATTATTCAATCGATTCCCGCGCGTACATCTAAATAGCGATTAATTAATTTTCTGAATCAATGAATCCGTAGCGCGCATTCCTATTTCGGGTTAATTCGATCAAAATCGGTTTGACCTTAAAATATCGACTGATTTCACATATGTCGCGGTTTATATATTCCCACAGTTGTAAATTTCCAAGTCTTCAAATTTCCAAATTTCGAAAAACCATACATCAAGTTTTTCCTTGATCAGATAACACCCCAATGTACTCACCTTTTCCTCCCTCGTTCGAACCGTCTCACCGACGACGTTCAAAAAGTAACGATGAACTTTCTCGCTGAACAGCCTAATGCCAAGCAAATTGGACAGTTTAGGACAGCATAGAGCCATCATAAACTTCCAGGATAGAGCGGTCATGAAATTCAGCGTCTTTTTGGCCAGCACGTAGAACTCGTTATTCGGATTTCTCATCGAATCGATCGAAATGCCGAAGCTACAGGTGGCTATGACGTCGGTGGTGTATCTTCCGCAGATATCCTTCACATCGAATATCTTTTTTTCCTTCGATTGGGTAGCAATGAAATTGCTGACATTGTCCGCGCATTCGCGTATCAAATGGAACATGATCTTCATCTTCCTAGAGGTGAAGGCAGGACTCAACAATTTCCTCATCTCCCTCCAATTATCGCCTCGAAGAGCGAACAAGTTCTTTCCCATCAGAGGATCGACTTCCGGGTCTACGAATCCGCGATGGTCGCAGAAATGATCGAAATTCTTCACGCAGATCGACAAGATCAGATCTGGATCACGAATTACGAATATGGGAGATATGAAGTTGAACAGCCCGAAGTATTTAGCCCCGGAGAAACGATGGTACAGTTTCTGGAGGAGTTCCGCCATGTGGATACGACGAAACAGCATAGGAGCCATATTTCCGAGAATTGGAAGCGGTCGCTGGTACGGGACATCCCGTTCCTTGAAGTAACTCAATGGCTCCCATATAAAATGATACAGGAGCAGAAAGCCCACTACGAGGAACAATGTCAAAGTAAACGGATCCATCGTTCAGAGATTTCAGAATCGATAATCGGTGTAGAAATCGATCGGTAGAATATCAAGATCCAAATTATCCAATGTCAGATACGTATTCGCGAAAATCGATGGCTCTGATTCGAAACACTATATAATTGTTTCGATACTCCTCCGTTGTTCGATTATGACTGAACGACGCACAATTTAGCATCGGATATAAACCACTGAATAAGATGCAAGAAAGTGGTGTCATGTGACTCGTGACGTTGACGAACAGACGCGATAAAATCGCTGCACGAGATAAAAATGAACAGTTGTGTCGTGTGAAATTATAAGTTCGTTGTTATGAATTACATGCTTAATGACAAATAAGGAGAGATAACACGGAATTAATTACTTCGTTAATGTATGAGTCGAAGTATGTGCCACTGATGCACGTTAACTCGTTAACCAGCTTTTCTGAGCTCGTCGAATGACACGGCGGATGCAACTCGATAATTTGAGGATTTGGAAAATTAGGTCTTTGGGAATTTGAAAATTTAGGAATTCGGAAGTATGCATTACGTTATGACAAACGTTATTCGACTTGTATTCACAATCAGTTTTTCTTTTTCTCGGAATAATAATTTATCGAATTACGACAGCCTTATACGTATAAATAAAGTCGTATAAATGTGTGTTTATTAGCTCATCCATATTTTGATATTTTAACCATTCTCATATTAAAAGAGGTATCTCGCGAATGAATTTAAATGGCAGATTAATACGCTTTTTGTCAGCGATTTGTCACAATCCATCGGAGGTGGCTACGGGGGCGGAAACGGACTCCAGCGAGCAATTAAGCGGTTTAATAACACTTTTTAATGCAACGTCAGTCGATAAATTTAACTACCGATAACTGAATATGATTCTGTTTATCCTGTCCCTGACAATGACATCTACTACGTATGCATGAAATACGCCGCTTCGTGTGTTTCGATAAATTAATGAAACGTTGCAATAGTTACGCAATGGGTTACAGCTTTTGTTTGAACTTTTAAAACAATGATCAAACCGCTGAATCTCCTCTATACTTAGATTAAATGTTTATCAAAACAACTTGTGCAGGAAATAATTGCGAACATTTTTGTGATCACATGATGTAAGTATACCACTCTCGAGTTCAATTGATATCAGAACAATACAATCTGTTATGATCTTCGCATATTACGAATGCGCGACTTTCGTCACGACATGAACTTGAAACGAGAAGTTAAAACATGGAAAAGAAGTTAAAAAAGCAGAATCTAATCTGTATTTTGTAATTGAATATCAAGGGGAAAAGAACAACGATCGTTGTCAAGGACAGACTGAAGAAATTTCATGTGACAATAAACGGTATTGTGCAATTTTAACATATCAGCTACTGCTAGCTCTGTTAGCTTTGTATCTTTCTACGCATATCACTCCGAACAACTTGAAAACTTATCTTATATACAAACAAGTGATTAAATATTTTATCTTAACTAATAAAGAATATTTATCACGCAACACGTACCGTAATATCGTAGCAATATATTATCTCATGTAGCACGTATAACACACAGAGTCTGATAATTGTGTAGAAAGTACGTAAATATTTTCTTCTCTATCAGTTACGATGGTAAAGTACAAAATGTAAACGCTTCCACTTTAGTGGAGCACGCTATTGTTCAGTATTCTCGCTATATGACCACATTTTACAATAAAATTGTGTTACATTATCTCAGGCAGAGATGTAGGAGTATAACAGTAGCATAGTAAATATATTGCACTACAACGATCTATTGTCAATGAGTTTTGCTGTCAACGACGCTAAACCTTTGTGAACTCCGATGTAACCTTCTCGAACCAACCTACGTACCTAATGTTGCGTGTGATCAATCACGAGCTAATCAAACCGTTGCCCGAAGTCGTTGGTTACTCAAGCATATGTCGTGCGTTTCAATTACGGTGTGTAATTGATCGCGGAATTTAGTTGTGGATGTGTTCATTTCGCCTCGGTATGGATGATGCAACGAAACGTCCATCGCTTCACAATATCAAACGCGACAGACGATTAACTACACCGCGATCAAGAGATTAATGCATTTATCGCATAGTTTACCGACGACTATCAATTTCGATTTGTCGAATAACTAATCGACAAACTTTAATTGTACAAACGTTTCTACGATCAAAGAACATCATTTCGAGTGGCCGATGATTCGTAGGTATTATGCTGAATCGTAGATGCAATTGTTTTCATTGTCGCGGTCAGCGAATCAGTATGCAATTCCAGGAAGAAAGAATTGTAAACATCGTTGAATCTATAAAGACGAACGATCACGGTTACATAAGCGAAAGATATTTATATGACGATCTAAAATAGTTGATTCGCAACTAGCACGCCTGCAAACTACAAAGGAGCGATGAAGCGTCTCTTCGTAATTCGTGATTTCGTATCTCGTGAGATGAAACAATATAAATGCCCCGTGGGTCGAAAGGTATAAGACCGAGCAGAAGGTCAAGCCACGCTATGCATTCGAAATAGTGGTGTCCATTAACTGTCGAATATTTCAGACAGAAAGGCGTCAGCTTCTTTTTTCCCCCGATTGACTCATCCCATATCGTGGACCCGAAATACGTACGTTAAACATTCGGAGCAAAAACACCTTGCCGCACTTACGGTTCCGTCGTCTACAAACTAAATAGGACAGGGAAAAAGGAACAAGAAGTTACCAGCGTTTGCTGCGAATACGGTTAATTTGTTAGAAGCAGAATTTCCGTCTCGTTGAAATTTTAAACAGCAATTCTCAGCTGTCCCGCGCAGTGCACGCGTTGAAAATTAACTCTCCGCGAACACGAATAACTTCCAGTTGATGTATTTAACTTACGTATAAAACTCTTCGTTCACGCGTTCTAGTGTAAATATGGGTGTAAAACTAGACACGGTATAGTAATTTCGTCGAGTACGCTTTACGTACATGACTTGTTTCGACGCTACTCATTTCAACGCAATTCGATTACGCGAGTTCCGATACGTGCCCTTTTATTCGATACTCTTAGCGACAACAATTCGAATTATTTGTTTTTTAATTCGCCATGATTAAATCTGACGCTCATTCGATCCGGCGGAACTCGTCGCGCTGAATCGATTTTGTGTTCTACCTGCATTCCCATATTAATACCTTATTAAACGAATATTATATGTGCCGTACAAAGACCTATTCGGACATCCTTTGAAACGCAATCATTTTTCATCGTACCAAATGAATAAGCTGAACAGATTACATTGGAAATAAAGGATTCACATGACGCGACGTTTAATCCGAATTAAGTTACAATAACGAGATTTGCAAAACGAAAGTAGATCGTGTAATTCACGAGATTCGCAATGCACTGATTAAACAGTCTACATTTACTTTGCAGATCTGACGTATCACAAACGTATAAACCTCGCAGTCTAGTTATGAGAAGCTATGATTTTCGCCACTGAACGTAGTCTAACTTTGAGCTCATAATCATATACATATAACTTAGGCGTCGATGATGACACGTATAGAACACGTTGCATAACAATCGCGAAAGACACGAATACCGAAACACTCATAAATAAAAATAGCAAAAGTTCACTCACCGGAATTTGATTCAAGTTGATGTCGGATCGTTCTCTGTTCGGGCTGCCTGTCAAACTGCTAGACGTCTGCTTGAACCTCCTGCTGAACATCAGCAAGTTCCTCATAATCATGGTGTTCATCACGATGATCATCACCAACGGGGCGATCAGACTCGCGAAGCTGTCTATGATGCTGATGATCTTCATCGCCTCCAGATATTCGTCTTTCAGTTCGCAATACTCTTCTCCCTCTTTGGTCGACACCACTCCGGCGGTGACGAACGAGTAGGAATGACCGGTCAGGGCAACGATCACCAATACCAACACGATCGTTTTAGCCCTGGCTATGGTGCATATGTGCGGTCGATGAAGGGGATACTGAACAGCTATGAATCGTTCGACGGTGAAGGCGACGATCAACCAGACGCTCAAGGAGCTGCAAACGGCGCTCACGTAGACCAGCGTCTCGCACCAGCCGTCTTTGTTGAACACCTTCCAGCCCAAAGTGTTGTTCAACCAAACGAGCAACAGGGTGACGAGAAACCCGAAGTCTGCGGTGGCCAACGCGGCCAAATAGTAGCTGGAGCTCCGTACTTTGAGGTGGGTGTTCAGAAACACCACGCAAGAGAGCAGATTGCCCACCAGACCCAGCAGGATGATCGAAGGAATGTAGTACTGGTGGAAAAAGTCCAGGAGGAAGTAGAGAGAGTGACAAGCCTCTATCGGCTTCTCCTCCAAGTCTATACCGGGTTCGAAACTACGGTTTCTGTAACCGTAGTGGGTCAGATTCATCCACACCGTCGGTGAGACGGATCGTCTGTCACGAGATGCCGACGTCTCTTGCAGACATCTCGTGTTTGGGTTTAACGTTGACGTAATCGCGAACATGACGTCCTCTCGTATGATCCGTACGGTATTCAGCCAATGATCCGATACTTGATCGCGTCTTTACGCTTTAAAGTTGAAAACGATAATCGGTAATGCTGGCTGAGAGGTACGGACAGAGATCTGTAGCGTTTCGTAATAACCGGAGAAAATTGTTGCGTTCAAAGATACGCTCTGGCAATAAAAGATGTACAGAGTAATCTGTAGCGTTTGATGTAGGGAGCGATCAAAGATGTTATTCGCGTTTCAAAAGATGCACTTTGAAAATTGGAATCGCCGGGTGAAAAATGTTGGTCGAAGATAGAATTAAAAGGCTAAATGAAAGAAAATGAGAAAAATGGATGTCTGCACGAAATAACGGTACGTGTACGTGGTCTGCCTTTCTCCATAACAGTCTTTGGCTCTCTCCAACGCGATTTATTAAAAATGATTGAACCTACGTTACATTTTCAAATACGCTACACGAATATTTACAAAGAAGAATGTTTTTGTATTAATATTCGAGACATTAGTTGTTAGTGAAATCTATCCGGTAAGCTACATGCGGGCTGGATTACATCCAATGAAATCGTATCGGATTAAATTATGCCAAATTCGATTACACTAGATTCGTTTGACAAAGAGAACTCTTCAACGCGTTGAATAATGGTTATTTATTTACTGTGAAGCAACCTTTGATAATGTCTATAACACAATCTGAAGGAATTAAAAAGAAGCGATCTCCAATACTTTTTATAAAATGCCACACGATTAAAAAGATAGAAAACGCAATGTTTGATCGACTTTTTCGTGGACTCGAAATTTCCCTCGATTTTTACCTCGACTTTTTCTCTTCGTTGTTCAACGACGAAAAGGGAGCGAAGTAAAACAATTCGTTTTTAAACTTTTAGTTCTTCGGTGCACAATTTCAAGACAAGCGACGCTTTATTAAAAACCGTGGATTTGTAGATATTGGAGATTGTTTAGAAAATCGGTAAAGCTTTTGCGATCGTGTAATTTCATTGGCACAGCGCGAGCTTTTATATAAATCTCTATGGACTTCTCCAGTAATCAATCTGGAATGAATACTTCGATAAAAATTCCAAAGTGTGTCGAATATTAACGAAGAGTTTTTAATCTCGAGTCCTAATCAAAATTTAAATAACATTTATTTCGCGATTGCAACATAAATTTTAACGTTGGGATAAAAACGTTATCTCGATGTTCGACGAGCAGAGTTGATATCAGAGTAAATAAAGTAATATTATTTATTTGCAAAATCTATGTATTTTAAGTAGATTTTAAGTAGTTAATTAATGGCAATTACGTTCTGAAACGTTCGCAGCTTACATTCGCATGAAATTCGTTATTAATGTTGGAAACTCGTAAACACGTTGAGTAACATTTGAACGTGTTACGGTCTATTTTTTCCTTTCTCGTCCCTCTTCATTCAAAACTCTCCAATGACTGTAGCATTCACGAATCAATGAGTTAGAAGCGAAATGTTTTCGACAACGAATTAACTTGCTAATTAACTGAAATCCAATCAACGGCTTGTTGTGTTAATTAGGTTGCTCGTATCAAGTAGCTGGTTCCTTAATGTAAATACAGTTTGTAATTATTCAAATTTTACGAATACCTTCCAATATTTCCTACGACCTTTCAACGTTTAATTGAAAATACTTATAGCGAGAAGTAACTTCGCAAATTGCGAACTTCTGTTCCGATTCAACTTTTCGAGTTTCGAAGACACAAAGAAATCTAATTATGAACGCGAAAGGACTGAGCTTGCGATGCATTGGAAAACTCTTGGTATCCTTTGGTAACTCATTTGCGGAAACTTAAGTTCTTGACAATTTTATCGAAATATTCGAAATCTCTTCATAATACGAATTACAAGTATGACACTTCAAATATGACAGTATTTATCAATTTTATCCGAAACCCTACAGAATCTCTCCATCCGATTTTGGAAATATTTTATTAAAGGAAAACGTATATTTACCTTGAAAATTCCGTTTAAGAACGTCTTCGACATCTATGACACTTTCACGTTAATCATTAAAACATTAGATCAAGCTTCAATTAATTCACAATTAAATATACCATGTTGAATACACTGAAACTCCTGAGAGTATTATGTCTTTATAATTCACTCGAAACAACTTACTGTTTCTATAACTCGATTACAATTTATTATTATAACTTAACGACACCAATTTGCCGAGTAAAATCGTTTTTAAAGATGTTACGATTAAATATACAATGTTAAGCTACAGCGTCTTAAATTTTATACTTTTTAACTCACTAATTTTCTTACGTATTCCACTAGTACTTAAGAAACTTTACCGAAACTCGTAACTTCTGGCGGACTAATTGCAGTTTATTCTCGTACGTGATCCTGAACTTGCTGAATTCCAGCGGCGCACGGAACAATAAATAATGAGAAAATATCCGGTCGGCAAAAAGATAAACCGGACGGTACGCAAATAGTCAATGTTGGAATCCGCTGTACCGCTTCCTCTTCCGTCGGTCTTCAGAGCACCTCCAACGATCCGGTCGGATATACCGCGTATCGATCAGTTTCCTGCATAGAGATTATCTTTGTATCTAGCCACGCTTGGTTAGATATACATCGTTCATGCGATTCCTCGACGATCCTGTAGCGCGTGGCAACGAATAATTCCATTTTGTTGAATTCCCATTTAATTAGCGTCTTCTCCGTATCGATAAATCTTTACATAAATTTTTCCAATGCTTTCCGCGTAAATTTAACGCGAAATGCAATAATCAAGTCCCACTGATATATTATTGTTTTATTTACGCGCGTTTGATTAAACAGTGAGCGCGTTTCGTTGTAATGTTCGTGGAATCCGTTCCTAGAACATGGAACTGTTCTTTAGAACTATTCTCTTGAGTCTTTTTAAGCATAATTGAAATTCGTTCAGAAACTTTTTTAATAGTTATGCGGTGGTAACAGTGTCATATTCTCCAAAACTGCTACATTGGAATTTCCTTTGTTCCGTTGCGAGATATAATATCCTGCGAAATAGTTGCAGTGGCTGGAAACTCTGTGTTCAAAACTTAACGTGATTTGTTTCTTCAAATGAGATTTTGACTAAAACGGATTTCGCCAAATTTGGCGACCGGACAAAGGAATTTTTCCGATGGATTCCGATTTCATCTACGAATTTCTGCACCGTGATTTTCGAAAAAGCTTCCTTGTCCCAAAAATTCTTGCATCGAATTCACTTTTCAAAGGTATCCTTCATATCAAAGCACCAATGCTTCCACGAAGTAAATTCAATAATCGGATAACTTTACTCTAGAATTCTTTCGAGTTTCCAACGGTGCTTTTAGACATTTTATCAAAGACTCTTCGCTTTCAAAGTACAGCGAGACACATATCAAATTTTCAAATTAAGAATATAAGGTGTACTGCAATCACTTTTGTTCGTAAGTTCGTATCTTCGCGTTCAAGGAACAGCGAGACAAATATCAGATTTTCAAATTATGGATCTAAGGTCTTCTGCAACCATTTCTGTCCATAAATTTGTATCTTTCCATATCGAAGATCGTCGAACGGAAGTCGAACACGATTTACCGCGTGTTTCGAATCAACGACCACGAACGGCCTTGGACATCCACTGTTCTGGTTTTGTAAGTCTACATCCGGGGAAGACGGAAATAAGGTCGAGAATTTTGGTAATCTCCAAAAACATTACGAGTTCAATAACTCGATCGTAGATCTTCCTATTTTATTTATTTATCGCTGTCACGAATTAAGGTCTTTATATTATTTAATGACGGTAGCTTATCGTTTATCTTTATTATCGTAATACAGACCTTTCACGAACATCTTTACGGAAATAACAGGGATTTATGGGTATCTCCCTTTCTTTCTTTTTCTTATCGCGTAGTAATAATTTCTGATTAAATTGATGTCTTACTTACGCGAGAAATATATTGTTCTTTGCATTCTTGCATCCGAGGAGGTTTATTAATTATCTTTCACGTTTTATCGTAACACAGAAACGATAAGTAAGGAAGTTTACTACGCAACGTTCGAAACTTCTATTCGGGGAACACGTTAACGTCTATGTGAACGATAAACATTTTTATTGTTTCTTCAACGGAAAATTATTAAATCTGTTTATTGGAACTCGTCGTCGGAAGTTTTAGGCTATAATGATTCAACGTCATCAAACAGTGACATTAGCTAGGCAGCTATTTACCGTATCAATGATTATTCAATAGTTTAAACACTGACAGTTTACAATAGATACATTCATCGATTATAACGGAAATAATAGATGTTTACTTTCACGAGCTGTTCCGCAAATTGCACTAGTGTCGCTCGGTAATGCCGAAACAAACGATTCCTCTTTTGTTCGTCGGTAAAAGGTTCTTCTGAACGTGGAATAATGTCGGTAATTAATGTTTGAAATGGTAGTAAACTATCTCGATACGCACACGGAATAAATATTCTTGCTTCCGTTAAAGCGGAACATTTTAAAAGGTTAAAATTTTATTGTATTTATATTTATTTACATTGATCGTTCACGTTCACAAATGAGATAAACTATTTCATTTACGCTTTCATCTGAAGCGACGATTCCATCAATTTTATTAGTGCTTTCGCTAATCTCTAACGATGATCAATTTTTATTCCAATAACCGGACAAAATATCCACAACCAATCTATGTATTCGTATTTTTATCACCAATCAAATTCCTTATTTCAACGCGCGGAAAATTAATTTTATTTCATTCGATAAAATTTATTTTATCATCGAACAATGACTAATCGAATGAGTCATTGATCGAATCTTTCGAATATCCACGCGATGAAATAATTTTGTTTACTTTGACGGATAAAGATTTACGAATTATTTTTATATTTTTATCACCGATCGATCACAATGATTTCTTCGGACGATGACATTAAACTTTACGCGAAAAAACTTTTACGCGGTGGAAATTTCCTTTTTAATTTTTCATCGACGATGCAGATTTCTTTTTAGATCGTTACCGACCCGAGGAGCGTACGAATTTTTGTCGATTTTCACGGAGGGAAATTTCAAACTATACTGCGGAGAAGAAAATCGAAACGTCGCGTGACGAGAAACGACGTCGGGTAAACTGAGATCGGGATCCACGATTTCGACGGGTTTGCCACCCGCCGACTTTCCTTCGCATGCGCTTTGAAAGCTTTCTCGAAGCTGATCGTCGCTTTCATTCATTTTAGGCGCCTCATACTATACCTTATATCTATCATTTTTTATACTTCTACGAAAATAATAAACTGTCTGGCAGAAACAAACGTATCAATGATCACGAGCAGAAACCAATATGTTAATAACAATGTTTTTCCTCGACAGTAGCTTTTAAAAATATGAAATTACAATCACAGAAAGACCGCAACAACGCTAACATTAATCCGAAAAATGTTTTATAATGAAAAATTCGCGAAATGTTTACTAATGAATTTATTTTCGTGGAAATTTGATGATATATGTACATACATCGTATTTCATACGAATTCAAAAGCAACGAACAGTCAGAAAAATTGAGAAAAACAATGTCAGATTTTAGATGAAACGGAAAAATGCAGAATCGGAACAAAGGACTTTTAATCCAATGCTATGGCGTTTCTTTCTATCTCGGCAGATTGCGAGAATGTAACGTTATACAATTAGAGAGATTGTCTTTTGTATCAATTTTTTCGAATTAAAGTAGATAAAAGCAGTGCACTATACATAGAACGTTCAATTATTTCATGCTAATTATCTGTAATTTCTTTCATCCAATTTAATGAACTTTGTTAAGCTGGTTCGTTTCTACTAGTGATAAAGAGTTAAACGCTCAAAGTCGAATAGTTTAATGAAATTCTTTCGAACGTCCTAGCCTGAAACAAACGTTTCTAATCTTCGCTACTGAATCATTGCGTGTCGAGTGACCTATCTCGAAACGTATAGGAGATTCCATAATTTGGACATTTGGAAATCTAATGAACCCGTTAAGAAGCCAAACGATTAGCATCCTTCTTCCAAATTTTTAAAGGTTTTCTATTTTTCTTCTTCTGTCATCGAAGTCTATCTCTGGCTTCGAAACTAATTAAATGGAAGAGCGAAGCTTGCGAAACGATAAACTGTTCTTGATTTGCCAGAATCCTTATACGCGTTTGACAATAAAGTACAAACTAATTGACGAAATGAATAAACGATATTATATGTCAATTATTAATTTTCGATGACCGATAAGTCTATCGTTAGTTAACCAGATAAATGTAAAAGCAATTCAGTCGGTGATTCGATTAGAGCGAATTCCGTGATTAGATTAACATTTTTCTACGTCGTGTTTTTAAAATGCAAACAAGCTGCGAACACAATAGGATTGTAGAAACTAGAAACTAGTATATTCGATCAGACCGTTACAGTGTGAACGTGTTTGCTTCGAAAACAATATTTTCATTCTTTTCTTTAATCTGTTACATGCAACGCGATTGTTTGCTTTTAATATCGAGCCGTCGCGTCGAGTTTCGTACAGGATTTGAACAGCGGACGGGTTGCACGCGACAACGGTACATAAGAAAAAGCAGCGTATTGAAATTACTTTGCATGCAGCTCTTGTATTCATAACAGAGTTTTATATTCATGAGCAGTAGTGAACTGCAATGCCTTTCGCTTATTTTGAAGAAACTGATGAGAACGTGAAAGTCCGCGTCGATAAAGTACTTTAATTTGCGCACTTGAGAGACAACTTTAATTTGAACGAGTCTCATTCGGAGATTTGATAAGTCCTTTGACCTCGATCGAATTGCGAGGCGTCAAAGGGATCTGAAGAATCCTTTTAAAATGTTCATTTATTAATATACAGTGTTACGAAGTACTGCAAGAAGCGTGTACCAGATTGAGGGGTCAATTGCAACCCAGCGGTAAACCATTTACGCGGGTGCTCACCTACGTACTGAATCCGAAGTCAATCACGATGGGTCAATTGTACGGTGAATATGACCTGAACACGCGCGAATGGTAAGTACAATTACGACTTCAATTTCTAAACCAGAGATATTTGACCGCACTGTTCTACGGCTTTGTCTGTTTCGTGGTACAGACACATTGAGTGCTAATTACATTGGGATAGAATTTAATTGATATAACGTTTCATGCAACGCATCGCGATATGATCTATACCAATATGTGAAGGTGTAAACATTCAAAAAACGGAAATGCGACGCCGGGCTATACAATTTACGGAAATACAACGCGTAGCAGTATGGCACGTGATAATACGACGCGAAACGATGAGTAGAAATACAACGCATGCCGATACGATGCGTGAGAATATGGCGCGTGACGATACCACGCGTGGCTATACGACGCAAGATAATATCTCGTAGTAATATGGTGCATAGAAAAACAACGCGTAAAAATACAACGCGTACAGAGCATAACACTATAACGTATAGAAGTACGTGTGCCTATACGACGCGCAGCATTACAAGAGTCTACTATAAAAAAAAATTTCGTATTCGTTGAAATTGAACCAATTAATTACATCTCCATTAACCAAATGGTAAATGTATGTTGGAATTATCAAGTTGTCAATATCGAATGGTTAATTAAATGATCAATATGTGTGAATTATGTATGAGCTATTAAAAGTACTTTATCCCAGGACGGATGGTATATTTTCGACGTTGCTCAGAGCCGGAATAGCAGCAGACGATCACAATAAAAGATGGTACGTATTCGACGGGCCGGTCGATGCTTTATGGATCGAGAACATGAACACGGTGTTGGACGATAATAAGAAACTTTGTCTGTCATCTGGTGAAATAATGAAAATTTTGCCTACGATGACAATGATGTTCGAGGTAGCCGACCTGAGGGTGGCTTCGCCAGCTACTGTTTCGAGGTAATTAGAAATTTAATCCCTTTATCTTGCTACTTCGTTCTTACAGGATCAAATGAAAATTATATAAGATTAAAATTATGAGTTGAAAATGTAAGATCGTGTAACGTAATTTTAAATATGATTGATATTGTACTTCAATTAAGTTTTACGATCCCTTATCGTGTCTGAAAAGACAGGAAAGTTGTTATTCGAATATAGTACATGTAATCGATTCGCGTCAGGACATTAATCACGGTACTATAAATAAAAAAGTGAAAGGAAACCGTAATATAGCAAAGGAATACGACCCAAGATACACGTCAAACATAATAAATGACTAGGATGATACGGAATGAATCTTTCAAACCTGAAAAAAGGAATGTAAATCGCGTTTGACTTCCCTGCACCGATAACTTTTCGTTCAAAAGAACTAAGTTTAACGTGCTCGAATTCTAAATTTCGAAAACTTCAAACTTTATCAATTTTGTTCATTAAGAATTATGAAAGTTCGGCCTTTTTCCTCTCAGGTGCGGAATGGTGTATTTAGAACCAGAAGGCCTAGGTCTCGAACCCATCATCGATTGCTGGTTGAAATCCTTGCCTAAGGTAAATACCAAATATTTTTAACTCAACGTTAACTAATGCAAAGCAATTATAACCTCTATAACTCTTCTCAAGGCAGAAAATAAATTAATTCGCTAACTGATATTAAAGTCCGATGTATATTAAGAAGGAATCAGGAATAGTTTCTGGATATTACAAAAATTTCTCCCATGTTAAAATTATAGGGGATTAAGTACAGAGATATGTGCAATTTCAGAACATGAATGATCACGTTGAAGAAATAGCCCGGCTAACAGGGCATTATCTACTGCCGAGTTTGGAAGTTTTACGCGCTAGTTTGCAAGAAATTGTAAGCACCGTCGACTTGGGAATGGCGAAGTCTTATATAAATCTGATGAACTTCCGAATTGGTCCGATGGCTGGTCGAGACGGGAGACCTCCGCCCAGTGCTCCTTTTCAACAATTAATTCGTAAGGATATACAATTTTAATATTATTCATATACTAATTTCATGAAACGCGGAAATGCAGCATTAGGAGAACATTGCTGGAAAGTGGTAAATGAGATATTTTCACAAACCTTTATATCTTCAAACACGTGTTAGTACAAATTAAAAACGAATGAAATTCTTAACGCGCTTAGCGAGGTGTCGCGTTATACGAAGATTATACTACTAACTTCGACGCGAATTATCTCTACTACTTGTAAGTCAATCGCGTTCCATTCATCGCAATAAAACGAAGCGTCTCGCATATTTGCATGAAATGAAAAGGGACCGTGTAGCGTCGTTCCATAATTCATACCTCGAAACGGGAGTTAGGGTTCCAGTACACGACCAAAATATAAAAAGCTTTGTATCTGAAACATCTTAAGAATAAAGAACAATAAAGAGGCGTAACAGATTATTTTCTTTGGACAAATTGTTGCCAATTATTTTAATAGAAACCTCATAAATCGTTTAAGTTTTTAAAAGATCACTTTGTTCAGAAAGATATATTGATATTATTCTTTTTGATTAATTTTAAGAAGATGGTTGTGACTTTTCTAGCCGACTTGCTTTCACCGTGGGCCGCTTTCGCCACAGTTTGGAGTATCGGGGCGAGTAGCGATTACAACAGTCGTCGTATGTTTAGCGAATGGATCAGAGAAGCGCAAAGAAACCACCAACACTCGTTACCGTTTCCCGAGGATGGTTTGGTATATGATTACAGGTAGCAAATCTTTGTAAATCTTAATTTAATTCACCAAGGAAGATATCATGTCCGTTTCAATACAGGCTCCACGATGGTGGTTTCACCGATATAATCGACACTCCGGAACCGATACCACCGAGATGGTACAAATGGCTGGACGACATTCCATCGATCACTATTACACCCGAAATGAAATTCGCTGGTACACCGAATGATCACAGGATAAAATAAAATTTTCAATTTTCGTTTTTACTTGTTAAAATGAAATTCAATAACTTTTTCTCGTATTTTTACGGTTCACGCAAACGCAGCTTTAATAGACTATTTGCGCTCGATAATCGATATTTCTTTTCATTCAAATAACTTACTTTGTAAATATCACGTTGTAAATGTCACGTTACAAAAAAAAACTAAAAAATCGTGACAGATATCGAAGTGCCAACAATGGACAGTGTCAGAAGCGCAACTTTAGTTGGATATTTGTTGATCAACAATTCGAACTCGCTGTGCGTCGGTCCAACCGGAAGCGGAAAGACTCTCACCGTGAGCGCAAAGTTGACGAGAAACATGCCGAAAAAATTTATCTGCGATTTCATCACTTTTTCGGCTAGAACCACCGCCAATCAGACACAAGTACGTCGTTGCACCGTTAAAAGAAAGTCGAAACGTTTTCACAGCGCTCAAATGGTTTTTCTTCCAATCGGAAAAAAGGACTTGATCGACGAGAAGCTAACTAAGAGACGCAGGGACGTTTACGGGCCACCGCTGTTGAGGAAGCAAGTTTTTTTTATCGATGATTTGAACATGCCTGCCCTCGATACATACGGCGCTCAACCTCCCATCGAATTGATTCGTCAGTTTATGGACTTTGAAGGTGCACATTTCTAATATCGATAGATATTCGATAGATATAGAGTAACGATAGATATGAAGTATATTTGATAAATAACACTTGCGACTAATTTGTTAGCGACTACAACGTCAATTCTCGTAAGGCTGGAATGTATTTATCAGTTTGAATGTCACGAGAGTTATGGATTCGAGTTTCAAATTCATGGGAACCTTGCTAATACAGTAGTAGAATGAACTATTGGAGCGGGATGACATAATGGCTGCTATACAGCAGCTTCTCGTTATGCCTTCACGTTTTCAACAGATCCGTCGCCGTCAAAGGAACGCTCAGCAGGTTCAGTGGGAGTGGGAAAGCCTTGAATGAAATACCAATTTAACCGAATGAGAGACGTGAACTAGGCATTGCGATGCAATATAATTATCCGCAACGTAATTGTATTATTTTGTAATTACAATTCTACAGGAGCCTGTACCTTGCATTATAACATGTACAAATACAACGCGTAAGGGCGTAACGCGCGTTAACATGGTACGCGATAATTAAATATAAATAGTCACGTATTTTCGCTGGATCCGAATAACGAGAGGAAATATTATTTTGGATAGCTCTTATTGATCGAAGTGTCTAGTTTCGCAACGAATGTCCGTTGTCGTTGCAAACGCGTTAATTTAATTCGGAAACTCTCCCACGAGTCTGTGGATAGCGTGATTGATGTAAGTGGAAAATAAATATTTCAGGTTGGTACGATCGGAAGGAGATTGGGTCGTTCAGACGAATCGAAGATGTAAATTTCGTCGGAGCGATGGGACCACCTGGTGGCGGCAGAAATCCGCTCACTGCCAGATTACTACGACATTTTCATTTTATTGCATTCCCGGAAATGGAAGACGATGCCAAGGTAATTCTTGAAACGTATTCATTGATCGGCCGGTAGCTATATCGGGAAGTCGTTAATTACAATTAGGAAACAGGAAACAATTAAGGCCGGAAAGAGGGAGCTCGACAATTTATCTCTGTCTTGTCTGAACGGTGTCAAAACTTCGTTAGAAAAATGTTTCATTTGATTTCTGGTGTTTTCAGCGTCTCGCTGTGTCAACGTGTTTATAATTATACCTGTTAAACATCTCGTACCTGCTACATTTATGAATATGACGAAACAAAACTCGCCGGATTTTATTAATTAAATTAAAGTTCGCTGTATGCGCGTTAAAGTTCGCGAACGTACGTTAATTAAAACGCTAAAAAGCGATGCATTATACGTAGCATTCGTCAGTGACACCAAGTTGCCAAGTAATGAGATACGATGAAATACGATTCAAACTAAAGAACATAACTCATTTTATTGTTTGTCTCAGGTTTCAACTTGTTACCAATTTGAGAAGGATATAAAAAAGTTCTTTAAACGCGTTCAGGTTCACGAAAAATTTCATCGATATTTTAAAGACGAATGAAAGCAGAAACATTCTGAGAACCTCTAAATTTGTAATAAAATCATTACAACTTAAAATAGCAATTTAAATTTTATAATACAGATTTTATAAAGTAATTCTACTAATAGATTTTCTAAAATAATTCGACGGATAGACTTCATAAAATAATTCTACCGATAGACTTCATAAAATAATTCTACGGATAGACTTCATAAAATAATTCTACGAATAGACTTCATAAAATAATTGTACCTGTATTCAGCAGTAGAAAAGTAAATAAATAATGCGCCTGACCAGACACGGTTATTTCTACTGTGCCAGTGAACGTGTGAAAGAAAATGCCCGGCAAATTCCAACGGGTCACGAACGTATTTTTGTATACGTTGGTCCAGTTTTATTCCATGGAATCGTTGATCCACGCCCACATGAAATAATTGGATCTCATGAAAAAGATCAACTATGGTCTCCCTCTATGCCTCTGTTTGTCCTTCTCCCCGGTGTTCGCTGCAATTAACCCTCGTAAATCGTACTCATTCGACCCATAACTTATCTTAATCACCTGTTTGACCAATAACGAGCGACCATAACTACACGGTGTACACCCCCTAACCGCAGTGAACCTTTTTTCCGGCCCTCTACCTGTGTGTTTAAAACACAGATCTGACAAGGTCAATTCGAGGGCGGTTTCGCTTTAATCTCGAACATTCTACGCGCGTAGATAAACCTGGTAGACAATTCGAACGTTTTTAAATGTATTTTTAATCGTTTAACCAAATGTTGACTTTCTCTTATGTACATATAAAATAACAAAACCACAAAACAATTTTCGTGTGTATTGTTCTTTACAGTAGACTTGTTACGCTTCGACAATATGTTATTTCATAACAAATTTATCGTACAGCATGTGCTTCAAATATTAGAAATACATTGTCAAAAATTGACAGAAATTAGAGACGTTATATTTTCAAAAATTAATTGGCTCCTGCGTTGCATTTTACAGAGGCACATCTTCGGTACGATTTTGAATTCCTGGTTGTCCAAAACGCCGTTCGGAAACATGTTGGAGACTTTTTTGGGGACAACGTTGAACGTGTACAGCACGATTTGCAAGGAATTATTACCAACTCCGCACAAGTCGCACTATACTTTCAATCTACGCGATCTCAGCAAGGTGTTTCAAGGGATGCTGATGATGAACCCTGCGAAAATCGAGGTTGGTAAAGTTTCCATTAAAATCGGAACACCAGAGTCAGCAAATAAAAACCGCGAAATGTTATTTAATTTGAAAAAATTGTTCGTTTCCAGATATCTGAAACTCTGTTGCGACTGTGGTACCACGAAAATTTAAGAGTATTCTGCGATCGTTTGATCAACGATATTGATAGAACGTGGTTCGACAACCTTTTAAAAAAAACATTGGAAGAACACTATGAATGCGATCCCGAAACTGTTGTTGGTAGTACGATGTTGTTTTATGGCGACTTTAGTGGAACGAGCAAAGAATACGAGCAAATAACCAATATTGGAAAGGTAAACGCCGTAGTTCGATGAAAGTGAACAAAACGACTCGGTTACAATGAGACAACTTACATTAAATACATAATGGGTACGATTCTTCTTTACAACCTTCGTTCGAACGTTCATTTATTTAGATAGAAGAAACATTGAACGAATTCTTGGAGGATTACAACTCTACCACAACATCCCCTATGAAATTGGTTCTCTTTCAAGACGCGATAAATCACGTGTGCAGGATCAATCGAATCTTGCGACAACCGAGAGGAAACGCTCTTCTCTTAGGAATGGGTGGTTCAGGTAAAATTACTCGGATAACGAGTGCATCGCGAGCTGAATTTTCTAGCGGAGATGCAAATGGAAACATAAAATTGATATTTGACTTTTAGGAAGACAAAGTTTGACACGGCTAGCGTCGCACATACAAGACTACACTTGTTTCCAAATAGAACTCAGCGGCGCGTACACCAACAACGACTGGCGCGATGACATCAAACATGCGATGATGAAAGCTGGTGTACAAGGTCACCTAATGGTGTTCCTCTTTTCGGACACGCAGGTACTCGTCATAATATCGCACATTAAACACACTATGTGTTTCCTTTACGTCTACAGAGTGAATCGTTTAACATATGAACATTTATCTCTGAAAGAGAATCCCCTTCGGGATTAATATCCTTTTACACTCGCAAAGCGGTGCGAATCGGTGGTAATCAGAAAGGGTAGTAGGTAAAAGATCATTAATTTTCAAAAATTTGTATACTCTCAGATTATTTCAAGTAAATGTTTTTAGTTTCAAATATTGATTCTTTACATGGTGCTCACACTTTTTTACTAGCTCTCTGGCAAGAGATATGCATCTGCACGCTAATGCGTGACAGTATGATGTAATTTTACTGTATCGCAGACAGAGCTATAACGAAAATGGTATATTCAAGAATAACATGCTTCTAAACTGTTGTTTGCGTAGATAAAAGACGACTCTATGTTGGAGGATTTAAACAGCGTCTTGAATAACGGCGATGTACCGAACATATACCACGTTGATGAGATGGAAAAGATATTTCATTCGATGCGTGGTCAAGTGCAGGAAGCGGGTCTGCAGATCAATAGAAGCAACCTTTTCTCCGCCTATGTAAAGACCGTTCGCAACAATCTGCATGTTGTCATTACGATGAGGTATTTTCGTATTCACCTTGCAATCCTCATTGATTCGTATCTAATGAAAGCTCTACGAATAACAATGACGGCTAACGACGTAGCAATGATATTTGCAAACGATATTTGCAAATGATATTTGCCCTCGAAAAAATATCTAGTATTAAAAAATATGGACTAAAATATGGACTCTGACAACATGACTCGTTTTATGACGTTTGAAAACTGATTTAAATACGACATTCGTGTGAAGTATATTATTTAAAACGTACTTAAATATTAGCATTTTATTCGATCCTTTTAATTTTTATTTCATAACCACACAGCCCGATTGGAGAGGTTTTTCGAGCACGTATCAGGCAATTTCCAGCATTGGTAAATTGTTGTACGATTGATTGGTTTTGCCCGTGGCCCGAAGCAGCTTTACAGGTTTGTAATAATACTGTGTTGTTGTGTGCGTGTATAACTTGTTTACAAACAATTAAAAATTTGGAAACTTGTGAATTCAAAAAGTTTGACAATGTAAAAACTCGAAAATTGACAAATTTAAAAATGTAAAGCTATGGAGGACTGAAAATGTGAACAGACTGAGTGGTCATTCTGTTTACATTAATAAGCTAAAAATTTTACAGACTTGCAAACAATAAATTGCAAAATTGTGCTATGATTGGCGGATTAGACTGCTCGATTTTTTGCCCCACCAATTAACGTAGTAATTACAGTATTAAATTTCCTTTTAGCGTAACGTGCTAAAACGCTGACATCCAATTTCACGGGGAGCTGACTTTGACGTTGCAATTTTTTACACCGTTATTTTTCATCTAATTCTTTTTTACGAAAAGCAAGGTTCAGTTTAAAAATTTTACTACGCAAATAGCTGTCGACCTTATCACGAACAATTTCTGCAAAGTCTCAAGAAGGAGCAGTTTCTAGATTCCAAGAAATGTCTGCGCAAGTACAAATGTCGCTCATTATTTACAGAGTGTCGCGATGCGGTTTCTCTCCGACATCAAAGACGAATCGATCAACGAAAGCATACTAAGATCCATCGTGAAATTATGCCAATACATGCAGTCAAGCGTCATCGAAGCGAGTGATCTTTATCTGAAAGTAAAAATACATTCCTTAATTATTTATTTTCTTATTCTAACACCTTTTCACGTAAAATACCAAAAGTTTGCTTTATACAAAGGACATAAGTGTTAACATGTCCGGTGCTACTGGTGCGTATATTGTATTGAATCAATTATTTCGGTAATACCAATTACAGAAAATCGATAACTAACAGTGGAAGATAACAATGGTCGAGTGTCGTTATATCGTTACGCTTTAAATCGCATCACCGCGCTACATATTGTCTATTGAACGACTTCTGTTACTCGAACTTCCACTTCGCGGTATCACGCGTTGCGTTATTACGCATTGTACTCGCACGCATTACATTATCGTTCTGTTAATACACATTATAGCTATGTCATATTACCCAGTTCCGTGTTATCTCTGTCGTAAAAACATGGAAATTTGACCACAGTCTGCGGTCATATGTGGAAAATTGGCTGTTTCGCAAATGACACGTAAAAGCAAAACGAAATTACCGGTGTAATTGCGTTAACATAGTAATAGTACATTATACACGGTGAAATGAGAATGAGAACACGGTGTCATGAATATGTTATGAAAAAATTAATAAAACGCAACGAGTGCGTCAGTAACAACAAAATGATCGATGCGTTTATAAAATCTAAATACATCTTTAGCCATGATAAGGTATAATTTCTGATCTATTCTCTTTTTGTTATCTGTTTTTTCTACACGTGTCGCTTTTCGCAATCAAAATATGATTATTCTACAGGAATTGAATCGTCACAATTACGTTACGCCCACATCGTATTTAGAGCTACTTTCTAACTACGGAGGTCTTCTGAGAAAAAAGAAAACCGAGTTGCGAGCAGCGGAACAACGTCTGTCTACAGGTTTGCAATGAAGTAAACAAATTGTTATAGAATTAAAAAGCGAACAAACACGACATGATGAATCTTCACGTTTAAATACATTTTCAAGTTAAAACTCTGAGCGTGTTAACTGAAACAATATTTGAGAGAAAAGGATAGCCTCGAGCAAACACCTAAATGTCGATAATTTTGGAGTAGTAATTCATATATGATATTTGCTCGCTAATTTTCATATATCCTTTCTTAAAAGTATTCCGGTATTTAATTAAATATCCAGGATCGATTATTCTCTTGTATTTAAGTACGAAATAAAGCAGCGTTTAATTCAGCAATAACCCCTAGACGGAGAAGTTCGGAACGCGAGGGTTAATCGCGGTAATATTTCAAAGTTAAAAAAAGAACCGAGATACGGGTTCACGATTTTCATTTTAAAACGAATCTTTCCGAATTTCCCAGCGATGGAAATTCACGTACTTTTTTTATCCGTCTACGTAAAATGGATGAAAACCAGATGAGGTGACGACTAATCGGTGAAAACGTGACGGTCCCACGGGTCAAAGGTTAAAGGATCCGATCTAGTAATTTTGCAGACGATAAATTAAGCACAGCTCGTCTGACAGGAGCTCGTGATACGTGACAACCACCGACTATCGATTTTCTTGCCAGTTCGAGTCGTAAATATCGGTCCAAAACCGAGAACAGAGGCATCCACCAAAATCATACGAATATTTAAAATAGACGGAAATTGTTGGTCGATCAATGACAAACCCAACGGAACATTTATATCTTCTATTTTCAGATATCGAATATCACGATATTTATAAATTATTCTTTACTCAAGTGTCAAATATAACAAGTTATATTTCCGGTTACAGTGAAAGACGCTGTATCTACAAAAATTTGTTCATAAGATTGCAACGAAAATTACATAAGTAGAAGTATCTTTTAAGTACTAGCTTTTTATACCTCGTTTAAATTGACGAAATTTTTATCACCGAAAAATCCTTTGATTTTTAATCGCCCCAATACGAAAGTAATTCAATCTCTATGCAATTCTCTTTTGGTTTCCCATTGCCTTCAATAATTCCTGCTATGCCTTTAACCCTTTCATTACGGGTGCCGACTATATACGGCGGCCGCGCGTCGACCTGCGTGTACGGGTGTTATATGTAAATAACTGAATATTCATACAATATACTCATTTTCATGTTTTTCATTCATTTGCATTCATTCATTTTCATTTTTTACAAATTTTCACTTGCATAATACTAATCAAAACATTCTATACAATTTACGTATTTAATTTTTTTGTGTGCAAACAATTTTTCGCTTCATTTTTTATTTTCTGTGATTGCAATTACATTTCGTTACTATCTGAAACATGAATTCACATGCTGCATAGTATGGGTACATCTAAAAATTCAATTAATTTGGTGAACAATAACATTATCGTCCAGCGTATCGTGGTCATTTTTTAAAAACCGTTATTGCTTTTCAGAGTAGTGTATTTCTTTCTAACAAAATCATGCAACAGAGAATTTAATTAAAATTGTGATTTTGATGTTACGACAATTATTATATAGGTTTGGAAAAGTTGGCGAGCGCGGAGGTGGAAGTAAAAAAGATGCAAGAAATGTTGGCTAACATGAAACCGCAACTGGAAAGAGCAGCTGCAGCCACGGCCAGAATGATTGAAAGAATCACCCACGATACCGTCAGTAAATAAACTATAAAATAACAATACCCATTAAAATCACTCTATAAAGTTTCATTAAGATGAGACTTCTTGAAATCGTTAAAATAAATTGCTAGTGCGTCAAGTTTCGATAAAAGATACAAAAAATTGTACGCACTCCGATATAAGTTCGTATCGATGAAAGTTATGAAACTGCGAAACGAACTTATTCAATTTAGCTTGTATAGTGATATTCTTTTCACGCACCACTTATATTTCTTTCAAATATACCGGTTAAAAATCCGATTAACTTTTGTATAGATCGAGGCAGAAAGAACGAGGTCGGAAGCGAAACAGCAAGAAGCTATAGCGGCAAAACTGAAGGCGGAAAATCAAATGATCAGGGACGAGGCAGAGGCTGATTTAAGTACGTTATTTTTCTACTAATTGCGAGCAAAATAATTATTCCCTTGAATTGATCTTCGATTAAAAAAATTCTACTTTGTGCGTCTTCCAATAAATCTTCTGTCAATCTAAATTTGCTAAAATGTTTACCAAGTACTCGACGTGAAAGTAACAAAGTTAATTTTTCGTTGCAGGCGAAGCACGTCCCATGTTGATTGCCGCTGAAAAGAGCTTAAAGTCTCTGAACAGAAACGACATTACTGAGGTGAAGGCGATGAAAAGACCACCGGTCGGCGTACTTCTGGTTATCGAAGCTATTTGTATCATAAATAACGTGAAACCAATCAAGGTTAGCGAAAAAAGTACTCGAAAATGCTGATAACCGAAGTTTCATGATACTGTAATGTATCGTTAATTAACCGGAGTGTTGGATATTGTGCAAACTTTGAATTTCGCCCTTTAACAAGATGCTACAATAATATTCGCTCATGCTAATTTAATAATTTTCACTGCATGCATAACATCGTACTGTTTTATCCCGAAAGTGAAAATTCAATGAATCCGTTACAACCGAATTAAACATTAAATAAAGCAGGGTAATTCTGGAGATCGTCCATTAAATTATTTCATCACAATCGGTTCCTACAATAAAACGTAGGTATTTATACAATTTATACGGCTCCACCTTCGTAATATGTTATCCGTATGCGGAAATTCGTGAATTACACAAGGGATTTTGAATATTCGTGTCTTTGATCATTTTCAGTGGATTTTGCACGCTACTCCAAATGTTATTACGTCTCATTTTGCATAGGTTGCAGACCAGGGAAGATTTGGCGTCTCGGAACCAAAGCTAGATTACTGGACGCCTGGCAGCCAACTGTTAGCGGATCCAGGCCACTTTTTGTACACAATGGAAAATTACGATAAAGAAAACCTGACGGAGGAGATAATTAATAAACTGAAGGTTTATATCGAAAACCCTGACTTCCACCCGTCAAAGGTACGTATACGTTAGCAACGTAAAGTTAATAATTTCCTTGTACCTTGTAAACGGGTACGAGTTTGACAAGAACTTCGAATCGTTGTAACTTTTAAAGTTGCCTGTTAAACTTTTGAACTTCTGGGAGGAATAAAATATATTAACGTTAAACGCAATAAAATCCGATTTAGTCGACGAACGTTATACGCCAACGAACAATGTTTTTATTTAAAAGAGTGAATTTCGAAAAGATGATTAATGAGCTATTTTAACGTCGCTCACACGCAAGAAGTGCCATAGCTGAGCGTAATTGTGCATTCAGACGGCGTTGTGCATAAATTCATTTACCTATCAATCATGTGCCCGGCAAAAAATCTCCCGTGAATAAACGCGATAACACGTCACAAAAAATCTGTAATATTATAGTTTAATGTTCGTATAAGGCTATTAATAACATCGTAGGAAAAGTTAAGTTACCGTATCGCCACATTTTATATTCTCGGTATATTGCTATGATATATGACATGTGATATTATACTAATAACATATTATCGCGCTTGATAGTGAATTCTTAACATATTATCAAAGTAAAGTAATGTAATACGTGATCATGGCAATACAACGAACGAAAATATAACGCGAAGCAGAATGTAATTATAGAACATAGATCGTAGATCAATTTGGTATTTCTGTTTCAGATCGAGTACGTCTCGAAAGCTTGCTACTCGTTCTGCCTCTGGGTGCACGCGATGTACAACTACTACTTCGTGATGGAAAAAGTAAAACCGAAGATGGAGGCGCTGGCCCAAGCCGAAGAGGCGCTCGCGGAGACGGAAAGAACTTTACTAGCCGCGATACAAAGGCTGCAAGAAGTGGAACAAGGCATCGAGAAGTTACGAAATCTTTTACAAGAAGAGGAAGAAAAAAAGGCAGAACTTGAGAGGCAAAAGCAGCTTTGCGAGGATAGAATGGGGAGAGCCGTGAGACTGATCGACGGTCTGGCTGGTGAACAGATTCGTTGGATCGCCACCGTGGCTGAATTAAATACCTCTTTGCATAACGCCGTTGGTGATATACTGCTGGCTTCCGGTAAACGCTATATTATTTCCAAAAGCGTTCTTTGATAGCAAATTTTGTTAACGTCAGTCTGCCGGGTGCTTTCGTGAATTGCACGATGTTGTCGGAAATAATATATTGGGAATCTTTTGATCGACAGGAGCTATAGCGTATTTGACACCCTTCACGGACAAGTACCGTGAAACCCTGTTAACGTCTTGGCAAGACTTGTTGAAAGAAGTGCCTCACACGCCAGGCAGCGATCCTGTATCGACCCTGGGGGACCAGGTGGAAATAAGAAGATGGCAAATCGAGGGATTACCCAGAGACATGCTGTCCGTGGAGAATGCGGTATTAGCGATGCATTCGCATCGCTGGCCACTTTTTATCGACCCTCAGGCTCAGGCGAACAAATGGATACGTTCTATGGTTAGAGTAAAAGACGCGTTATGTTTATACGACGTCGATTCTCCGACTGATCCTCCAAGTCCTCTACTGTTTTACGATAGAAAATTTTTTTATACGAACGACAAATTGGCTACCATATTTAGAGAGATCTTACGACGCAATCCGAAGCGAATTGAAGTAATAAGAAATTAAATGAATTTTATTATATTTGAACGCAATGAAAACAGCACAAGGAAAGCGGTATATCCATAGCGAAAATGTCGGACAAAGATATCCTTCGCGTACTGGAATCGTGCGTACGATTCGGAAGAGCATGCCTCATAGAGAATGTCGGTCTCGAGTTAGAAGCGGGATTAGACCCTATTCTTCTGCGATCATTGTTCGAGCACGGTGGTCAGTGGTGCATCAAAATCGGCGAAAACATCGTTCCTTACCATCCAGACTTTCGTCTTTTTCTGACTACCAGACTTTCGAATCCTCATTACACGCCGGATATAACTGTGAAAATACTACTGGTGAACTTTGCTCTTACTACTACGTAAGTTTCCAATAAGATGCATTGATACAAATAATTGTTACATGCAAAAGAATTATACAGTAGCGACATGTTAGGCTGAAAGTTGAAATTCTGTAATAGTGCTTTCATAAATATTTCTCACTAGAGACTCTTCGTTGAATCAAATAATGTAGTATTGCCCGCTAGAAAGTGTTGAATTTCTAGCTTCTTGTATTTCAAAACAAGGAAGGAATTTTGGATTAAAACTGCTTGCCTCCTTTTATTCGCTAAAGTGGCTTAGAAGATCAAGTTCTCTCCCTTGTCGTCATTCAAGAACGTCCTGACCTGGAGCAATCCAGAAACGCTTTGATTGTGTCGAACGCTGAAATGAGAAGGGAACTGAAGGATATAGAGGATAGAATTCTCTACAGACTATCGGTGTCGGAAGGCTCTGCTGTCGACGATATAGATCTGATTCTGACTTTAGAGGCGTCCAAAATTAAAAGCGAAGAAATCAAGGTATTTCTCCAGTCTGAATACAATGCGTGATTGTTATTCAGGACAATACATGAATGGATGCATTATAATACGACGCGTTGCGATACTACATACGAGATATTACCACGCGCTGTGATACTATGTGAGATATTACCCCGCGTGGAATTGCAACAGGTTGAGTTACCAGTACGCGGAATTATTATACGGAGTGGAGTTATTGTTATTATGTATGTGGCGATATAACGCGTGAATTGCAAAGTGTAGGGTTACTTATATATCAAAGTACAATGCGTGGAATCATAGCGCGTGAAATTGCAACGCGTGGAATTATAACGCATGAAATTATAACAAGTAGGAATTTAACGCGCAACTGTTCAACGCGTAGCGTTGATATAAATAATTGTGACAATCAGCGTAAATTATTATTAAAATTATCTCCGAAATATAATGTAAAAAAAGAGGGGAGTTTGCAGCTGAAAAGTTTTACTTTTTAAATGTTAGTAATATTTGTAATATAACTGTGTTTTCTGATGTTATGTTTTGACGATTCAAGCACGAGCTGTTGGAAAGCCGTGAAGTGAACTAAACGTATACCAAAAGAGTTATAATCAGCTCGTTAGTAATTAAACTTTATTAGGAAACTTTGTTCGTCAGTTTTCACGACTGAATTAAACGCTTTTTATCCAGCTGAAAATGAAAGAAGCTGAAATTACTCAAGCGGATATCGAGGTAACTCGATCAATGTATATTCCGGTGGCTGTTCGAGGACAGATATTGTTTTTTTGTTTGTCCGATTTGCAATATATTGATACCATGTATCAATATTCTCTCGAATGGTTCGTCGAAATTTTCAACAACAGCGTAATTGCTACAGAGAAGAGCAGTAAGTTAATTATTTTTGTAACCTTATTTTAAATATTGAAAATATTTTCATTCTCGGTGGTAGTGTATCACAAGCGTGTTTTATAATAATATTACTCTTGCACTTTGATACTTTGATACATGAAATGAATAATTATCTAATAATTACACACTTTTTCTCGCTTTCAGGAATATTTTTAAATTAATTAAATAATTAAAAGCACTATTATTCTATTACGAAAAAATCTGATAAATGAATACACGCATGAGAGATTGGAAATCGCGAACAAAATTAATGCCAGTACATTTCCAACTATTCTCTTCTACCGAGAAAATTTTATTAAAACTCCACCGAATTAATCGAATTTTTTCCGACAAAGCTCCAATTTTCCGCTCAAATTACGTCACGCGTATAACGAGACTTCTCTCATGTATGAATTCAAAGCAAACTTTTGAATTGTTCAAGTTCGAGTTAAACCGAATGGAAATTCGGATACTTTACAAGATACGATTTAAAGGAAAGCCCTCAATCGACTCCTAAATTTCTAGACGAAATCGAAGAACGCGTCGAGAATATCAATCGGAAGTTCACCTTCTCGCTGTTCACGAACGTATGCCGGAGCCTCTTCGAACGACACAAATTGCACTTTGCATTCCTCGTTTGCGCCAGAATACAGATGCAGGCGAATTTAATCGATCCTACCGAATGGAGACACTTTCTGGCTGGGCCAGAACCTTATACAGTGAGTTCACGATATTTTCAATGAATTAACGCGTTAAAATTTAAACGAGATCGACAAAATTCTTCGTATCGAGGAACAGAAAAAATTTCATGCTTCGAATTCTCGTGTAATAAAACACGCTTAATAAAAAATGAAAGGTATCGTATATCAATGGACCTCGTATAACCCATCCCTATAGCTTTGAAATAAAATGAGAAAGTGAAAAGAGAGGAAGCCTGCGGGTAACATTGCAAAGATTCTCAGACTGGCTGAACGCGTATACAAATAGTGATCCCATTTTACAAATGCCCAAAGTTTCGGTTTACTTCTCGCAGGAGAAACCGAATCCATCTCCCGACTGGATCACGCCGCGTTGCTGGAAAGAAATTCAAGCCCTCGAAAATCTGCCGAAGTTCAACGAGTTCGTGAATTCCTTCGAACAGACGATGCCCCAATTTAAAGCAGTCTTCGACGCTCAAGAGGCGCACCTGTGAGTAATACCGAAACCGCCTGATCGATTCGCTTTGGCCACAAAGAGAATAAAAAAATTGAGGCGAGTAAAGCGATAGTTACAACACAAAGCGAAGCGCGGTAACGTTTTGGTTCCGCACAAAGTAATACGATTACGATCCATCGCACAACTGAATTTTTTTTATTTATTCATGGTTTAACTGAATGTATTTTCGTTTCATACGCAACATGTTTTTCTTTCAAAATGGAAATCGAGCGCAAAATTACCATGAATTCCATTAACAGTCTTTGTAATTTCATTCATTCTGTGGCTCACAGTTCCACGTGTAATTCAACGCACCGTGAGATGCAATATTGAGCGTTGTAATTTAACTGGTTGCAATTCGGCATGTTGCAATTCCATGTGTTTTAATTCACTCGAACGCGAAGCAAATCCACTCGTTTCATTGCGAGTAGTATTACCATACGCTGTATCATCCCTCCGAATTATACATATATAAAAGGGAATTACAGAGCTGTTACATGTAATCGCAAATGCTCGTCTATCGGATTTTAATAAGTATATTTACCCTAATCATAAATCGAAGTTTTATTCATAATTTCCCGGTAAAGTATACACCTTCCTGAACCGTGGCACTCGACATTGGACGACTTTCAAAGAATGCTGGTGTTAAAATGTCTTCGTCCCGACAAAGTGACCAACGCCATGCAGTTTTATCTTGCCAAGTATTTGGGTCGAGAATTCGTCGAACCTCAGACCACCGAACTATCGGCGATTTACAACGAGTCCTCGCCTACGACACCGATCGTTTTCATCTTGTCTACCGGCACGGATCCTGCGGCTGAGGTCTACAAGTTCGCGGACAGACTGAAAATGGCCAACAAATTACACGCTATATCACTTGGACAAGGCCAAGGACCTAGAGCGGAAGCCATGTTAAGATTCGCTTCTGAACACGGTTACTGGTGCTTCTTTCAGGTAATCGAATGAAATAAAATTTGTCAAACTGTTCCACTCAGACTCGTATATCAAAACTCCGCGGTTGGTTAAACAGACGAGCCATTCGCTTTAACGCTGTAACGATATTTTTACAGAATTGTCATTTAGCTCCAAGTTGGATGCCAGATATGGATTCGGTGGTCGAGTCCTTGTCGCGAGCAAAAAACCATCGCGATTTTCGTTTATGGTTAACGTCTGCTCCTTCGCCAGACTTTCCCGTTAGCATACTTCAAAACAGCAGTAAAATGACGATCGAACCGCCGAGAGGTATAAAGGTGCAAGCTTTAAAAAATGAATATTTCACCTTTCATTCTGAAACGAAACTGAAAATCGATACTCATCCTGTCGAGAATTCATCGAACTTTTTTTTATTTTCAATCGACTCGCGCGAAATTGAACGTCGGTGGAACGAAAAATATCATGCTTTTCTTTTTCAGGCAAACATGTTCCGTGCGTATCTGACACAGGTGATCGAAATGATCAACTTCATGCAATCGGGACATCCAAAGGTTACTCAATTCAAGTGGCTCGTGTTCTCCTTGTGTTTATTTCATTCGGTTCTCCTCGAACGGAGGAAGTTTGGTCCTTTAGGTTTCAATATTCCGTACGAGTTTACCGACGGTGATTTGACGATATGTATATCGCAGTTACACATGTTTCTTCTCGAATACGATACCGTACCTTTTAAGGTAAACGCTTCTATGTTTAACCGCTTCATCTAGCAATTTAGTATGCTTTGCGAAGCTATCATTTTACCATGTTATTCGCGAATTATATTTCTACACATTGTAAGCTGCAATTCTGTTCCTCCTGCATCTACGCATTTCCATGCATCGTCATTTCATGTACTGCAACTTTTCGCGTTGTAATTATTTTAATTATAAACTGTAAATGTACTGTACTTCTACGCGTGGAAACTTTCATGTTACTATCCCGTGTGTTGTACTTCTACGCGTTGCAACTCCAGGTGTGGTATCCCCACGCGTTTCAATTTTGCATATTGCATCGGCACACGTCGTAATTCTAAATTCACCTTGAGTATGCCTACGTTTGGTATCGGCGCGCATTATAATAGTCATCATAGAACTTACATCATCTCTCTACGAACTTAAATACAATTTCCAAATGAAGTTATTAATCTCTGAAAGGTGCTCACATACACAGCCGGCCACATCAACTATGGCGGTCGAATAACGGACGACTGGGATCGTCGATGTGTTTTAACTATCCTCGAGGATTTCTATCGACCCGACGTTCTCTCGCCGGTTTACGTATTCGACGAACAAAAACATTATTACCAAGTACATACATATATTCCGGAATAAATGCATCCTATATGTGGCATGAAATATTTAACATCGTGATCGATATTACGCGCGCTCATGTCAATTTCTTGTTCGTATGATTTCCAGTTGGTGGAAACAGCGACGTACGAGGAGTACCTTGAGTACATAAAAACGTTTCCTTTGAACGACGAGCCGTCGATGTTTGGAATGCACCCAAACGCGGATATAAGCTTCGCGCAAACGGAAACTTACTCCTGCCTTGAAACACTTCTTGCTCTTCAGCCTCGACAGGTCGGAACTGCGGCTGCCAGTGTTGAAGAGGTCACAACCCAATTAGCCTCGGACATGCTGTCGGAGATTCCGCCGACTTTTGATCTCGCAGAGTTGCAAGCGAGGTCATAAGAAATGATCCGACGAATCGTTTTTATATTTTGATGACTTTCAACTATGTTCTATGTTTACTTTGATTGTGGACTCTCGTTATGTTTGCAGTAGACTTTCGTTACAGTGTAACATTTAACTTCTCGTTATATCTGTACTTTTTACGGAAAGCCCTTGTTACATTACGAACGAAACTGTTGACTTTGCACAAAAGCTTCTTCCTACAGTTATAAGAAAGAGAACATTTCAAACCGTTGCTTCTTTTTATGATTAACGCTTGGTTTCTTCTTAATTTTGAGGGAAAATCATCACTTTCTATTAATTAAAATAATTTCTCTACTGGTTTCGATTTTTAATAAGTAGTCCCTTAATTAGAAGACGGTGCTGATAATAGTATTAATATTTCAGATATCCTGTTTCGTATAACGAGTCATTCAATACCGTATTATTGCAAGAGGGTATAAGATACAATGGTTTGTTGAAGGTAGTGAAATCAACGTTGCAGGATCTGTTGAAGGCTTTAAAGGGTTTAGTTGTAATGTCTGAACAGTTGGAAACTGTAGCCACTAATCTATATAATAACAGGATACCCAAAGTATGGCAGGATAAAGGATATCCTTCCTTGAAACCTCTTGGTAAGCTTACTGTTTCAACATGCATTTATTCGTGTACTAATTTTAACGCAACAATAATACTCGATCCATATTTGTTTAAACAAAACACAGGTTCATGGTTCCTAGACTTGAAGGATCGAATCGCGTTTCTGAAGTCCTGGGAACTGAACGGTATACCTGCAGCGTTTTGGATTTCCGGTTTCTATTTTCCTCAAGCTTTTCTAACCGGCACTTTGCAGAATTTCGCGCGGAAATACGTCGTCTCTATCGACACCATCAACTTCAGTTTCAAGGTAACTTTCGGTAACAGATTCTCTCAAAGGCAACTTAATTAACTGTATAGTAATTATCGATTGACGTATACACCTCAACAAAAATTTAAAATTCCATTGATCTTGGACTTTTAAAATTCACATGAGTGACTGAATATTAGTACACTGATTGCAGGTTCGAGGCAAATAAGTTACTCTCATATTTCAGGTGTTGGAAGTGAGGCCAACACAGAGGCCAAAAGATGGTTGCGTTATTTATGGTTTATTTCTCGAGGGATGTCGATGGGGAGGAAACTACTTGGATGAGTCTCTACCAAAGGAACTTTACACTAGTAAATATACAGTGTTATAATGTATGGTATACGTAAAGCTAATTTAGTTTATGAGAAAGAGAGAAAGAAAATTTGAATGCCTGAAGGTAAATGAGCATGAAAGGAGCAACGAGGAGGAAAATAAGGAGTTACAGTTTCAGACTGTATTCCATTTTCTTTCCCTTTATAGGACATTATGTCATAGTGACGGAACATTTTGTTACTTCGCTTTTATTACGTCTGCGTTGCTGCCTCCCTTAAGGGAATCATATTGTTCAGAGACACACTGAACACTTTTGTTACAGTGATACATTTCTTATGGTTTAGTGCCGGAAAATGGCCAAATTTAGAACTGAACCATTTTCCGCCACTTCCAACCGTATTCTCTATATTGCCGACGAGGCGCAGTGTAATATGTGAACTGTTCTGAACACATAATTCGCATCTTCGAATCCACAGAGCATATTACAAACAGTATAAAATCAATATTGATAAATATATAATAAATATACAGCATATTATTCAATATAATCAATATTAATTGGATTTAAAAAAAAAAATGGAACATGTGGCGCCATCTCTCCGGCGAACAGCCTGAACTACACACTTTTGAAACTGTACTTTAATTAGTTCTCTTCTTCTACCGCTAGATGGCGCGTACGCGCCGCCCTCTGGCGGCAGTGTATCCGAACTAATGAAGCTACAGCTTCAAAAGTGTGTAGTTCACCCTGTTCGTTGAAGAGATGGCGCCACTTGTTCCTTAAAAAAAAATAACCTTGATTAATTGAATCACTCGCCGTTAGATGGCGCTAGTGATGCTTTTTTTTTTTTTTAATGCGCGTAAGTATAAATTTCAGGATAACATATGTACAATATTTTTATTCAAAGATATGCCTCCAATCCTCCTGCTGCCCGAGGTAGATCACAAGGAGCCACCAGGAATTTATTCTTGCCCTGTGTATAAAACAACCAATCGAGCAGGGACGTTAAGTACAACCGGACACTCGACTAATTTTGTCCTTGCAATGGAGATTCCTAGCCAGAAGCCTCAGGCTCACTGGATCAAACGAGGGGTGGCCTTATTCTGTGCTTTAGATTATTAAAAATATTATTTTCCAAATAAAAGTGTAACCCAAATGAAACTTGTGTATCATTGTCAATTAGATTTTAATTTACATTCTGATTCAATTATAATGAATTATATATTTTAATTGCATGATCAGAACATTGAAACCTTATTTTGAATTTTGTTCATAGAGTGCTGGATTCTTTCTTTTTGCTCTTCTGTGCTCGGCTTTACTCCACTTCATTAATATCACAGACATTAGGCAACCTTTAAATATAGAAACTTTGTAGAAAAAAATATATTTTACTGTTCTAATTAAGTAGACAGGATCTGTCTGTCTGTACATTTTTTATATAATTTTATGTTTAGTTAATATTTACCAGGAGCCATCACTATAGCATTATATACCGATCGTTTAAATAGATTTGGCAAGCTATGGGATAGAAACTTTGCCCAAAATCTTTGATCATCCGCGGCCAAGGTATAATACACAATTCTCCGTATTCGAATCGGAAGATCTCCAAATTGTAAAGTCATTTCGTAAATTTGCTTAACTTTTCGACGTTAACGTACAATGTAGAAAATTGACAGTAGAGCATGTAAACAAAAGACGTCTTAGTATCGATTTCGTTACTATTTTCGAATATTTTAAAATTTTGAATTCTATGAAGCAAACTGATAAAGACTGAACTCCTACGTAACTCAGATAAAGAAAAGTAACACAAATATCATCCTTCATTCTTTATGAAATCACTAATATTTATTCTAACAAAATATGTACACAAAATTCTATATAAATTCAGGGACAAATAAGTATATGAAACATGTGCATAGAACAAAATCTAAAGGTTTCTTTTATGTTATATTATTTAAAAATTGTCTTCTTAGATTTACAGGACATCATGCATGTGCTTTCTAATCTTTGCTGGGATATCAAATTTCTCTGTACTTTGTTCTAACAAACAACCCAGAAGACGTGGTACCGACAATACTGTCCCACTTATTACAAAAGGAAAATCTCGTCCAGTAGCTGTCTGGTATGAAATCAGTAATCTTTTGCTAAAGTAGTTACCACACAGTGAAATATGACCAACTTCTACGTATTGCTTTAAAAATGTAGACCATAATTCGAAAGATACACGCATTGATTCCCATGGTTTTAAATGTGAAGCAGGCCTTATAACAACTTCATAATTGCCACATATGTTATCATATAAAGAACACACAGTGTTATATAACATATTGTATTGATTGTTATATTCTTCAAAATTCTGAGTTAGCACAAAAATAACAGCAGCTGATGCTTGACAGACATTGAACAGACCAATTGATGGAGTCTTTGGATGATACGGAGTATACTGTCTTCCAGTTGAAAAATATCCTATTGGCAAATGTCTCGGATTTATCAATTGCTTTGTGTGCATTGCCAAAAATGAAATCAAACTTGCACCTCCAACAAGATGCATACGATTTGAGGAACCTTCATTTACATCGCTGTGATTATGTATTAGGAAAGCATCAGAACTGTCTTCATGATTTAAGCCACAACCTTCCACTACCACGCTACGACTAAAATCTGAACCTGCCACTCGAATCAAGTTACTTTTGCTAAGTATTACACCAGCATAACTTAATACGCCAAGCTCAAAAAGAGCTGCTTCGTTACACAAGAAATACAGCATAGGATTTTTAAATTCCAACAGACCAAGATCTTTTCCAATTCTAATATGACTTCTCGGATATTTTGGACCATCCTGTTGATTGAAGACATTACCTTGTTTTAACACTTCAGGAGTTTGAGGCGGTGTCCTCTTATCTAATTCATTTGGCAACTGTAGCAATTTCAATAAAACGCTTTCTTGTAAATCATCTATAATATTTTTAACTGACTTTAAATCAGTCTTCACAGTCTCATTCTGCAATTTTAATTTAGCAAACTCTGCTTGCTCCTCTTCTGTTAACTCTTTTTTTGAGAAAAACTTTGACATTCTTTTTGATATTTCATCGCTTCTTTCTTCCAATCTACATTTATCTGTGTTTACCAACTTGTAAAATTGCCACATGTTCTTAACATCGTTAGCTTTCAACTCTTGTGTTCTATATTTTAATTGCTCTGTTAATTTTTCCATATTCTTTATTTTATCATCAAAATCCAAATATGGTGTCACAAACGAAAATGTTTGTGTGCGTTTACTACTAGGAACAAGTAAAGCAGAACTATAATACCTATAGTAAGTAGATATTCTACTGACATATTTCAACATACAATGTTCTGAAACATTATGAATTGTACATATGTTCACAAAATGTGGTAAATACTTTGCCATCATTAATTTTTATATAGTATTCCTCTAGAAAATTCAAAGTATTCTTATATAATCTTGAACAAGTTAACAGAATTCAAACATAACTTTAATTCAAATTAATTTTTATGGATCTGTTTTTGCCACTTTAGCATTTGGTGGTAATTCTGATGCAGTGTCCATATTAAAACTATCACGAGTTAAAGTTTCAATTTTTCGTTTTTGAGGTGCAACATAACTTCCTTTTCCTGCAGCTCTCTCTGATTCTTCAATAGTGTAGGGTTCCAATTCAAGAGCTTTTAACCTACGCTTATGTACCTTTGTTGAAAAATGATCTTGTAAAGCAACGTCATTTATAAAATATCTCCTGTAAAAGGAAAGAATTAAAAGGAGAAAATCAGACCGAAAACATTACGAAATGCTTCATTGCAAATGCATTATTTGAAGGTTAAGTAGTTGAAGCTGAAACACGAGTAAAATAAGATCGATACTTACGCACAGTGAATACAATAATATTGACCTGCACCAGGTTTATCTAAATCTACTTCTTGATTTAATAACTTGTGTACGTTTTCATCTTTTAGATCCTCATCAATCTGAAATAATCAAAAATGCATAACAAATGTCGATCGCTGCTATCCACGTGATTCCCGGCAAAAATTAGGTTATGTTATTTTACCTCATCTAAATCTTTCGTTTTTCTTCTAGTTCGCCAGCCTTTTTTTAAATGTGTATCCCCACGATGATACTTTCTACGTTTATATGTCATTATTGTAACGAAGCAATAATTAGTAAGATGAAATTAAAATATAACGATAGTGCATGGATCGCGATAAACGATTCAGTTCAAAAAGGAAGATAAATGAAAGGAATATGCAAGGTTTATTTGTGTGAAAGCAAAAATTGTATTTAGCAAATTAAAAAAGATACAGCAAACTTATTGATACGTACAAGTAAGCTTATCAGCATTTATTCGTACGTATAAAACTGCTGTCATAAAAGTAAAATTTGCGTTTGTATATGTTATTTTGATATATCAGGATTTTGTTAAGATAGGTTAGATTAAATTGAGGTTAGGTTAGGTTCGATTTGTAAATCGTTCTTGTAAAAATCTTTTTCACAATTCAACAATATGCTAAAATTAATTATTGCTCATAATCAAATATTTATGTCGTATTTATTTAATACTATATACAAGAATAGAAATATTTGTGCAAGTAACACGATCTAAACAAGATTCATAATCACTGGTGAATTTTTGGCGTCGCTATTGGTCAAATACTTTCATGGCGGTTCTGTCTCTATCAGAATTCGTAAAAAGGTTATAATCGTGTTAAATTTTTCAGTCGTAAAGGTCGTAAGTAAGATCAAAATTCATCGCTACGTTTTTTATTGTAATAATTATATCTCGTATTTCTCTGAGACTCAAAATGACAACTGACTTCATTTTTATGACATCAATTCGGTAATAAGATAACATCGACGTATTGACATGTAAGATATGTAGATAAATCAAACGTGATTATATTTTGAAATTATTCTTAGCAGATTATAAATTCAGCATTTTCGTACAGCCTTTAAGTGCCCAATTTGTAAAACTAGGTAAATTTACAAGGTGGCTTCCAAAAAGAAAGAAGTCGAATTAAAGCGAGAATATCATGTTCATAAAAGGACATGCGCAGGACGTAAAAGTCTGTGCTTTGTACATTGAACTCTAAATTATCTAGAACGAGAACTGTGTGCCTAAGGAGGCTGTTTTGTTAGAAAAAGATAGTAGTTAGTGGGAAGCTCTGTTTCTTTCTTACACTCACACGTGTAAGACTCAATCGTATACATATTTTCTATTCCACGAGAGAGTGTTCTTATTTCCCGTATTTGTACAGTCTCGGGAGATTTCAATCTCAAGTGCGATGCTTCTCTACAGTCCGCTTTTGTTTTCGTAATTATGTACATGTTGGAGAAAAACGAACGGACAGTGAAACCAATAATGTGGTAAATGTGCGCGACAAAGAAGCATTGAACTTAGCCTTTTTAATATATTCACGAAATATATAAATACAAGAAAAAGTACTTTGACTGACAAAGAAAATATGTTGCAGTCAATAAAAAATAGAAATCATGAAACTTTTTATCCACTGAGTACATACTTTAGACATTACAATTGTCATTAGAGCGCATGCGCACTACCATAGATTACGAAGAGTTTAAAATCTAAGAATTGACGTGCGTAGAAAAAACGAACATTCGTCTAAAGAGTCTCTTGTGGAGCAGACATTAAAAATTTTCGTTTTGTACGGTTGACTCAGAGAGAGAAACTCTTTGGTTACCACGAAAGAGTGTGTAAATCATATGCCAGTGTGTAAGTGAACGCGATACAGAAATAGAAAAAGAAGGCTGCGTAAAGGTTTCTGCATCCTTGTTTAATCGCGCATATGCACTCGCTCATCAGCATTACGCGCGATAATTTGAAAATTTTTACGAAAGGAAATATATCTCAAAAATTTTATTAAGAATTTTACAGTTAACGTTGAATTGTATTTAAATATTTAGTAAATATAATGTTATTACAGCTCTTTGTAAATAAATTATTTAAAATTGTTGTACTAATAGTATTTCATACTTTTATGCGTATGAGTAATTATGTAGAATGACGAACGACCAGTATGCAGCGTTTTCTTTCTGTTGCTATATCATTTCAGCTTGCTTATGCACTTTACTTTCAGGAGATGCGTGTATAAGAGATTCCCGTCAATTATTATCTTTCTCTAACAGAATAGTGCAATTTCTTACATAAACAGTTCTTATGCTATGTAGTTAAACATTCAGTGGCATTATTTGTTATTGGGTTAAAATTTGCATGATAACGAGATCGACGAATATGATCGTAAATTGTGTTAAAAAAAAAATAAACTCAACTTACAATCGTAACATTAAATTCGAATTGAACGCATGATTTCAGAGTATCGAAAACGCGATACCTACTCTATCTAAATTCGCAAGAGGATAACGCAATTTGAAAAGGGACAAAGTTTTGCAGCTATCACCGTGAATCCACAGGTCAGGTTGTGGCAACCCTATCCGTTTCAGTTCCCGTTTCAGGTATTCGGTGTAACGCTGAATCGAAGCCGACAGATGTCGCTGGATCGCGCGAGCGTAGGTCGCGCCTCTAGCGGCATTGGCCATGACGAATTCAAACGGTGCGCCACTGGCGAGGGGGGTCCACACCATTTTGAAAGTAAAAATACTGCGCGACCCGGGATTTTGTTTGTACGGTACGGCGAGGGTAAAAAAGCCGAGGGCTAGGCTGTAGTATGGTCGGGGCAACGCGGTGTCGCGCGTAAAATGACGTAAAGTGTGCGAGGGTGTGCCGCGCGCGGTACGAGGTGTGTAGCGGAAACGGTGTCGCGGTGTACAGGGTCGGCGCTGGTCGTTAGCTATCGTAGCGTACGGGAAATTGGCTGTGGCTTCGCCAATGGATGCCAGGCAGGAGGAGACGCCATTTTGATATACGGGCGCACGTCAAGCAAGCGTTCGCTCGTTAGGGAAACGCGGGTCTCGAGTCGGTCTGCCGCTCGGCTAAGGACCGCGCGGGTGAAGCGGGTGAATTCGTTGGTTCGCGAGGTCGACGAGTATCGTTGGTACGAGTGCGTGGCGCAGCGTATCCCGAGTGGAGGAGCGTTTCGTTGACAAGTGACAGGTGAATCGATCGGGCCGCGAGGAAAGTCGCGTTGCGGCCCCGTACCCGTAACACGATTCCTTCTCTGGTGACTACTGTGCGTGGAACTACGTGTACATTCGGATTTTTCCCCACGCGTTCCATTCGGTGCGAGGGACCACGGTAGGCTCGTGTACATCGGTGTGCCGATCCCGGGCTGGCGGTCTACGGCCAGGGAACAGCCGCTGTCTCGTTTTCGCGCGCGCGAGACACAGGCCACCGGCCGACACTTCGGGCCAGGACAAGACGACCCGATGTCGGGAGCGGGTCGCGACCCCGTGTCGACCCGCGGTCGTCCTCGTCCTCGTCCTCGCGCCTCCTCTTTCGCGGCAGCAGCACCTTCCTCGCGTAAATGTGCTCTCATGACCGCCCATGTGCACCTTTTTCTCTGCCTGCTGCCTCTGCGTGCCCTGTAAACCCAGAGCACACCCTGATTAGCACGCCCACGCACTCTATCGCTCGCGAATATGGCCAAGATCCTCAACAAGGACCCCGTCACCTACGAGAGGGAGAGGGACAACTTCCTGAAGGACCTCCGCCACTTTCATGAGACCAGAGGGTAAGATCTTCGCTTGCGATTCGTTCCTGCTATTATCCGCTTAGTGCTTACGATTATGTATGGTTCGCGTGCTCGCGTGTATCGATCGTTTTTCGATCCACGATATCGAATTCAATCGTTTTCGACGTGTTCTAGTCGAATCGTTACCGTCGTTCATCGCGTAAATCGGAGTAGCGTTCCTGCCTCGGAGTGTGGACCGAGTTTTGAGGTTATGTGCGTTTGGTGTAAAGTTTCTCGGACGATATTCGCCTTTGTGCAAGCTATTTGGCGGGTGAATTCGTTGGTTCGCGAGGTCGACGAGTATCGTTGGTACGAGTGCGTGGCGCAGCGTATCCCGAGTGGAGGAGCGTTTCGTTGACAAGTGACAGGTGAATCGATCGGGCCGCGAGGAAAGTCGCGTTGCGGCCCCGTACCCGTAACACGATTCCTTCTCTGGTGACTACTGTGCGTGGAACTACGTGTACATTCGGATTTTTCCCCACGCGTTCCATTCGGTGCGAGGGACCACGGTAGGCTCGTGTACATCGGTGTGCCGATCCCGGGCTGGCGGTCTACGGCCAGGGAACAGCCGCTGTCTCGTTTTCGCGCGCGCGAGACACAGGCCACCGGCCGACACTTCGGGCCAGGACAAGACGACCCGATGTCGGGAGCGGGTCGCGACCCCGTGTCGACCCGCGGTCGTCCTCGTCCTCGTCCTCGCGCCTCCTCTTTCGCGGCAGCAGCACCTTCCTCGCGTAAATGTGCTCTCATGACCGCCCATGTGCACCTTTTTCTCTGCCTGCTGCCTCTGCGTGCCCTGTAAACCCAGAGCACACCCTGATTAGCACGCCCACGCACTCTATCGCTCGCGAATATGGCCAAGATCCTCAACAAGGACCCCGTCACCTACGAGAGGGAGAGGGACAACTTCCTGAAGGACCTCCGCCACTTTCATGAGACCAGAGGGTAAGATCTTCGCTTGCGATTCGTTCCTGCTATTATCCGCTTAGTGCTTACGATTATGTATGGTTCGCGTGCTCGCGTGTATCGATCGTTTTTCGATCCACGATATCGAATTCAATCGTTTTCGACGTGTTCTAGTCGAATCGTTACCGTCGTTCATCGCGTAAATCGGAGTAGCGTTCCTGCCTCGGAGTGTGGACCGAGTTTTGAGGTTATGTGCGTTTGGTGTAAAGTTTCTCGGACGATATTCGCCTTTGTGCAAGCTATTTGTTTACGAGTGTTCCATGTTTCCTTTATCATCGATTATCGAACACGTATCTTGACGCGATTGAGGTTACGTTCAATCGAAATTGCGATATTGGAACTTGTTGATTTTTTTTCTTTCGTCGTGATGTGCGGAACCTGAAATGAACGTTGCAAATGCTGTCGTACGTTCTTCTGTATCACTGTTTTAATTTCCTTCGAAATTGTGATCGTTCGAATAACAGAACAAGAGAAAAGCATTTCACGCGAAGACGCAGGCATTTATTACGTCATTGTTCGTGTTTTACTTGATTCGGAAACGGAAACAAAGCCTTCTCGTGTACTACGGTATTAACCTCAGCGTATTCGTTGTGTACGTTTGCAACAAGCAAGACCTGTCTGTTTCAATTATTTTTATTTCAAATACAATTTTTCAATTCGATACTATCTTTATTGTTTGTAAATTTTTACTATTAATGTATAAAATATTTTTTTATATTTTTATGGAACTGTAAGTTATTTTTTTAATAATTTCAAGTAAATATTTTTTCAAAACTAATTTTTTTATGATATTAATGATAGTGAAATATTACGTTATTTGAATTTTTATTACATTTAAGAAATATGTGAAATTACAAGATTATGGTTTGACTGTAATCGGATAACTTTGTCATTTATGTTTTTTAGGACTCCGTTCAAGAAAACTCCTAAAGTCAACGGAAAAGATATAGATCTGTATTTGCTGTATGTTGTGGTTACTGCTCATGGAGGATGGATAAGGGTGAGTCCATATTTTATTTTTTTTTTACATTTTGAAATTCTTCTAACGCGAGTATTCCATAAAATATGCATTTTCTGCGATCCACGATGCGTTTTTAGTGTAATTCGTAGTACTCGTAATGAGCAAAAAATTAGTAAATATCATGTCTGTGTAATTTTTCTTCGTGCATTGTTAGTATAACATTATACACGAATAAATCCTTATCATTATGTGGGACATTAATGTGTTCTCACCATTTATTTTACGAATGAAATCATGATTGATTATTTTAATATACATTACGTCATTTGTAAATTTGCACAAAAGAAAAACAAATACGTAACTTATGTTGGGAAAAAAATATCGTGTCATAGTTGTTCAATTTCCACTGTTCTTTCCTGTTTCGATTCTTGTTTCTTTCTTTTTTGTAACTGTCATTATTTTCAAGTGCAAAAAATTATATTTGTTACATGTTAACAATTAAAACAGAAATTCATACAACTGGCATATATAATACTTTCCATTTTTGTGTCCATAATTGTGGTAATTAATTCAAACAGAAGTAGAACATTCAATTAACCACTTTCTTATTGCAAATGGACGCGTGTACGTTGAACAAAATACACAATTTTCTTGGAAAGGGCATTGACCTCTTCCAGTAATTCAAAAACAATGACTTGGCAGAAAACTCCTTAACAACCTTATTTACTAAGATATTCAACTTTCACCTCGTTCGTTCGGAAGTACAAATATTTGTCTCTCCCTATTAACCTTTCTATTGTATTCATGGAAGGTGTATATTCATAGAAAAAGAGAAACTGTTATGCGCGAGACTCTTGTTATATTGCACTGCTGCTCTGCACTGCTACATACTTTGTCACATTGCCTCGCGCTATATTGCCATTTTTCTTATTTCGCGCTATACGTTTCCTAAATTTTTAGGCGATGTATTATCATTCATATTATCGTTACATATTGCCATTTTCTATATTATCACTATTGTAGCGCTATTGTTTCATATTACCTTGTGGCAATATAACGAGGGCCTACTGTATTTTATTTTGTGTTACGTTATGAAAAAGAAGAATAGGGACCACTTTTGAACTAAATGGTAGAAAGTAACATAAATTTTAATACGTTAGAAGAATCATCAAGCTATAAATGTTGCAAACATGAACAAAACTTCGATAATTGAAAGTCGGTTATAAATTTCGAGTCGTCGCAAATTATCTGGATAATCTTCCTAACCAGTCTACGGATTATCTAATCCGGAACCCTTTCGTCTCGTTCGCATGTGGCGAATTTCAAGAACGCGAATTATTTGGAGTGCCGGAACGTGTACTAGCGTAGCGTAAGAGCTATTCACCACGCGTGATTAATGAGGAAAGAATGCGAGAGATACGACGGAAACGCGGGAAAACGATTGTTCCGTGAAATAAAGTAGACTGCTCTTCGATCGCGTTTCTCGATCGCGCAACAATCGATTCTCGGTGTGTCCTTTCCCGCGTAAAACGGAAAAAAAAAACAAAGAAAGGCTGGCATTCTGTTTCTTTGACGACGTTACGCAACGTACATAGGGTGTTCAAAAAATGTGCATGGTGTTTCGTAACGCGGGTAATCATCATAGAAACCAAGAATAAACTCAAATAATGATACGCCGTGTTTAACCGTTCGACTCTGCAGTGTGATATTGCGATCGTATTTAAATCTGATAATAAGGCGGTATTCAGAAGAAGGATATTGGTACATCGAGGCTCGTCTAAATTCCTAGATCGCATGTTATACGATTTCTGTGTTGCATAGTGAATAGGTCGAAAGATTTCTTAACTTACAAAATTTCTTAACTTAAGAAAATTGTTTGTCGAAGAAGGATAGAGGTTGCAAATAAGTAAATTGATTACTCGTGTCATTTTTTCTCGGTAAAATTGTTTAGTCGATTGCCGTAATAGATTAATTGATATGTCATCAGTATCTGGGTCAGGTATTCACTATGATTCTATCATTTATCTATGGGTGACAGACTTGCTTACACGATTAGAATCGTTGTAGAGTAGAATCGTTGCCGACCATTTACATCGCTCTACGGTTAAACATTTCCATCGTATTCGAAACACGTTCAAGTTATATTTTTCGCATTTAAAGTCAAGGGGGCTTGAGTCAGTCTCTCATTTAAAATAATTTATCGTAAGCGTGATTTTTGTGTTTGAACGGTGTTTAATAGTAGGTACACGAAAGTGCTTTCCTCGAAGAGAAATCAAGGATATTTTCCTTCTTTTTCCCCCTTAAATTACGGAAGACTCGTGTTCGTTCAAATGAGAAACTGGCATTTTTCTTATATTTATGATAAAATGCTCATTTTTATTCTTCTGTATTCGTATACACGTATAAGGAATATTATTGTGCTCGAATTTCTCTAACGAGGTGGTATAAAATTTTGATTACAATAATTGCATAGAACGGTACTATAGAGAACATCATAATCTACTATAATTGTGTTGCAATAATTACATGCTGTATCGCTTACGAAAATGTATTAAACGTTCTATAGTACTGTACTAGGGTGTTTCACTTCGGTCGAACACCCAAGTTTCATTGCTATTAAAGGTAGATAATTAACGAAAGTCTATATGATTTCAGAACTCCCTACTTCCTGAAGTCGTATAAGCTCCAACTCTACTTTTAATAGCAATGAGAATAGAAGCTTGTTTGCTCTACTAATAAATGAATAAATACGATATCACGTGCTCAGATCAAACGTTAACATCGAGTACTAATAATATGTGAAATTTATGCCAAGATAGTATCGCAGTCGGTCGATTTTGGAAGAAGTTCCAAGGACGGAAAGGTACAGATCGGCGGTTTTTCAGATCGGCGACACCGCCCAAAATCCAAGCATAATATCGAGACAATGCGGAAGTTGACGCAAGGTCAGGGTCACTTGCCGAGGTACAGTTCGGGGTGGGAGGATAGATCATGAACCGAAGGTGGGAAGAAGGTGCACGGTAAAGAGAGGGGGGTGATGCGGTGAAGCGGGAAAGAGAAGATACGAGAGGGGGAAGTGAGAAAGAGAATATCCAGAGAAGAGAAGGAGAAGGTGGAAGTAGTGGTGTACGAGGGCTTCCCCTCAACAAGTGTGATCGAAGCTGGCTAGACTATATAACCTGTAACCGGGTCGCGACCACGCTCAGAATGCATCGGGACATCACCGTAGATTCCGACGATTCGAGGCCATTTTGCTTCTTCCTCCAGCAACGACCGCTTTTCACATTCTGATTGGCCAAAAAGTTTCAACGGATTACGTATCATTTTTGCAACGTAGAGTTGATCACTGGCCATTTATGTTTACGTCCTCTGGAACGCGGGTCATTATTCATAGAAGAACTGCATACGTGTCTTCGAGTTTAAGCCACGTTCTTAGCTTCACGAAAATGATGTAACATCGGCAATATCAGTATTTGTATCTTTCACTTTGAAGCACTCATAAATTGCATTATGTTTGTCCGTTTAATAAACTATTAAAATTCCGAGGCCGTTAGTCGAAGAAAAAGAATGCGTTTATACATAAATTGTTATCTAACAAAAACGTAATTGTTTAGCCAATGTTTCGAAATCCCTAGGTTGAATACTGTAAAATGTTTTTAACCTTCGTATCGATTCGTTTTATTTCTCGAAACATACCCAGATATTAGATAACAATGCTCTTTTGTTATTTCGATGTTTATAAGAGTTTAAAACGGTGGAGCATTATAATACCAGCAACGTATCGAGTGAAATTCTCTAGACGCTACACAGTATCCGGTGTATTGTGTAAGCGAAGTCATTAAATCGCGAACTATCGTTAGATTTAAATTAACCGATCAAAGTTGCTTCGCCGAAGGAAAAAAGGATGGCAAAAAGTGTCTCTTACGGTCGCCAACTAAATTGATCGCTACGTTACGAGGCAAAGTCACTCTACTTAAGGAGCGTTGCTTTGCCGTAAAGTGAAAGTGTAGAAGATAGAAATTATTAGCGATCTAGCGTACGTTCTTACGGTAGTAAAACGATTGGATAACTAGTTCCCCTTCGTGAATATACAACGGAAAGTTTTTCGCTAAATAAAGTACAATAATCCGAGTTGGATTTTTATAGCCTCACCATTCGATTTTCTAATCCTCCAAGTTATTCGAAATTGTGGAACTCTCTTATACGAAGTTTAACTCTCTTAACCACTACGTACGAATATATACGAATACGTACGAATTTCTACGAAGGAATACGAAGATTCAGTGATACCTTTGAAGGAGCAGAAATTTCCAAATTTTTATTAAATTTTTTCCAAATATTTTTCCATGCTCGATGAACGATATGTGCATGAACGTCATAAAATATGTATCTCGACCATAAAGCAACGTGGAATACGTTGGACGTTATATCGCTGCGCGTTATATTGCCACACTACATTGGCATCCACGATAAAAGTATCTTGGATAACATTTGTTATATAAAGGACACAACAAATGACATTAGAAAGTACAATCCGTTTTCGAAATATCGAGAGTTACCTTGTCTTTCGAGGTGTGTTCTGTTATTACTTCGCTTACAAAAATATTTCAGTCGCATTGAAATGTATAATGCTATTAATACTCCGCCGAACAGATGGAAACGTTAAATGTCCATCAAATTCGTGCGTGAACTGGATATACGATTCCAGTAAAATAATAAATGTCTTTCGGAGCACTGGAAAAGATTTATTTGACCCGTAACGGGTGAAGTGGATCTATCAGACTGTAGCTATTTTTATTTCCATAGAAAGGTGTCATATTTTATTTGTTCAAAGGTAAATTAGCAAATCAATAATTTTAGTCATTTTTCTGGAGCGATGTTGTAGATTCCGTAATAGGACTGAGACTTAATTTGCATGAGAAGACTCGCTTTCGAAAATGGTAATTTTGACCCTCGTGATTATTTTTGAAGGCTTTGAAACGACAAGGTAACTAAGTCTCTAGAGTGACCAAAACACCGGTTACGGGTTAATGTCCACT